AGCCTTCTCTCTTGATGCACGGTTTGTCTGAATGATCATGGACTTGAGTCTTCTTAGCCGACCCCTCAGTCAATCAGGTCCAACTGAAATCCTTCAAATAATGTCGATCCTGACATTGAGTGCTGGCACAATTCGGCACGTTAAATTCCCATTTAACATGCTAAAACTCTCCTCTCTCAGCATTTACCTCCTCTGCTATCATCACCAGCGGGTAGCGGTCCTCAGACAGGAGGTTGAATAAACAGAAGAGCTTGAAACAGTTTCTCTCTGATAGCAGCGCCCCCTGTGGTACCCCCTTGAAGTTCTTCTTCATGGTCATCATCCAGCACAGATCGTCAAACTTCTCCTTGTCGAACATCCCCTCTTTGACCTGAAAAGACAGAAAAAGACCCGCAACGACTGATACTTTAATAGAGTTTGTGGGTGTAATAGGTCAATCGACCACAGAGATTATTAATTTCTCCCGAAACAAAACCCTGATTCTTGGAAAATTGCTCCACTCACTGTTTTTATTCACTATAACAACTGAGATTACTTCATCCCCAACAAGCAGCTCAGCTTCTGAGAAACATTTGTAGAACTAAATTTCCAAATGTTCCTGGTAAGAACAACCCAATAAAGCTATAGATAAACTGTAAGCAGGAGTGGACAGAAAGAAGTACATCTACTTGGGTGCTGCACATTTTCAGAGTACCTGTACTTTACTTGAGTATTATTATTTTTTTTATTACTTTTACTCCACCGTACATAATAAAAACAAATATTTGACTTTTGACTTCACTACATTTCTGTGACGTACTCGTTACTTCGAAGTAGCTTTCAGTCAGCAGAATGAATTTCATTTAATTTTCTAAAATGTGACAGACACATATACTCTGTTCATCACAGGAGAAAAAACAATCACAGCCAACTCATGTTGTGCTGCTGTATTTTTGAACAGCTCAGTTTGAACTTGGCGGTGGCCTAAAGGCAGCTGCGTCAGATAAAGATGAGGCAGAAGATTCTTCACCAGAGCGTCCTGGCCTTATCTTAATTCCGCGTTTTGAACGTTTAGATATAAAGACAGATTCCTTTCATTTTAAATCTTTGTTGTGGTTGCCACAAGCGAACTCCATCGCTTGCCTACAAAAAATTCACCGTCCAACGTGAGAAAGCATGTCGAGGTATGTAACGTTAAGTTAATTCCAGATAAACGTTTTAAATAAACAGACAGCTGGTAGTTGTTGGCTGTCCTTTGGTTGATTCGGTTGTGTTTTTTATGACCATTTCTATTGGCTTTGTATCATATATTCTACAAGCTTTTTATTCTACAAGAAGGTCAGTGCATTCAGTAGGTTTTGTACATTTTGAACTTTGTAGTTTTCTGAACATGGAGGTGATATTTGTCATTGGGTGATGAGTTTATGCGCCATTTACTGCTCCTAATTTACAATACACAAAGAAATAAACTAGAAATAAAAGGTGCCCCCACAGGTGATTTTAACAGTCACTGTACCTTATCCAGTATGTATTTGTTGAGGTAGGGCATGTAGCCATGATTAGACACCGGCCCATCATCGTCGTCCTGGAAGTGCTCCTCCAGAGCCACGGGGTCGTGTGGGATGTGCAGCACTGTGTACAGGTTGTGGGAAAGCACCTGAAGAAGAAACATAGACATAAAGTAGTTATATATAGATGGTATGATCTCACTTAAAATGGTAAAAGGTCAGCGCTATAGTCTAAGTCTTCTGTGCACTCCATATTTCTTCATATATCCACACACACACACACACAAGTACAGACAGCTGGTCCTTAGTGACTAAGCATGTCAGGACAGCTTTCTGCCAGTTCCCTGGATTCTTCTCTGCTGTGGGGGCTCAGCCAGGCATGTAGGAACGGGACAGAAAGCAACATGACAGACAAAAATAACACTCACTGAGGGGGAGAGATGGCAATAGAAGGTCTCTGCTTCTTGTTGTGTCTGTCTTATTGTTTCATTTAAAGCCCTGACAGTGGTGATGTTTTGTCTCTGTTAAAGTCTCTGGGTCACGGGGGGGAAAGCTGGACTTTGAGCTTGAAGCTGGATCACACACTCACACCTTAGCTCCAATCTGAACAGGTTACGTGTCTGTTGGAAGAAAAACTGGAAGCTTTTTCAAATATTTGAACTTCTATCAGAGCTTGCAGGGCTTGAGCTACTGTTTACCCGATTACAACGTTGATTCACATATAGAAGCCTATTTTACGACATATAAAGATAACTATAGAGACTGGTGAGTTCTGGTTTGTTTGAGGCAAAAAGTCGCACAAATACACTGTTGAGAGTTTGCTTCTGTGCTGGCCAGTGGACGGCCCTCGGTCTCAGTTTCCTGATCTTAAAATAACATTATTCCCTCTTACCTTTAACTGCGATTTGGAGACTTTCCCACACTTCTCCACGTCCAGCGATGTGAACGCGTACCAGATGGATTTGAGGAGTTCGGATTTTAGGTCCATTTTGGAGACCTCGTCGTGCGCAAAAAGAACTACATTTCCAAGCGCAGCGCAGGGACTTTTACGCAGCGGCGGTGGTGAGAATTGCCAAATAAAATATGGGGCAGAGCACAGACTGCTGTGCAAACTGCAAAGGACCGAAATGAGTCAGATGTAGGGCAGACTTAAAGAGGCGGAGAGTACAGATAAAGCCCGGAGTCCCACACAGTCCTCAACAATAAAAGTGCCCATTTCACTCATGTTTTAAACATTTTCTTTACTTTAGGCTCGTGATAACATGCAGCCTACCTGAATAAAATAGACAAACAAGCGAAATTTCGACCTATCCAAGCGAAATTTCCAAGATCTGAGACATTCATCCAGACAGTTGCCAACGGGGTGGATTTCTGAATTCCTCAAAGTGCTGAAAGCCAGGAAAAAAAAAGAAAAAAACCAAAGGCAAATGAATGGCATCCGTATTGTTATCAGATTCAGGAGGCTTGCAGAGGGTTTAGGGACACACCCATTTGTGTCAAGGACTTAAAGCCATATTTATTTTAGCAGCTTCAAAATCTGAAAAGTTCAGGTATAATAAATAATAAACAATATACAGCACATTCACATTTCACACAACTCTGAATATATTCTGATGCAGCCAGTTTAGAAAAAAATATAACTTGACAACTGTGAAGATAGTTTCATTTAATTATGAAATTTAATATACATTTAAGGATTTTATATTATTCTACACACTGACTGAATGATTTATGAATTAGGTGTGTTTTTTAAAGCTATATATATTTGACTGTGTAATGTGGGCTATACCGCAAATGTAAAATCCTTAACTGAATTAATGTTGTGGTGCTTAATATCTCTAATCAAGTTGTTGCATATTCTTTTCACTTTTCTTCTTCTCCTGTTGGTGTTTTGGGGCAGTAGATAACTCATCGTGAATCTAATCTCCACCACTTTGCAGCCATTTTGTGTTATTTCTGGTAATAATTTTTCTTTTATCAGACATAAACAGTGAACATTCACTGAGCCAAACCTAAAATCATTGTCAGAAGTATTGTGAGAAAAAAAGCCCATGTAGTTTCCTTGAGTTCAGGTGTTGCTTGTATGTAATCTCAGAGCTCATCTTTTGTATGTGAAACCAGTGGCGTTGTGGCAACCTCAAGCAAAATAGGTTACACAAGGACAGTGTAATCAGACAGAAAGCATCCGCAAGCCTTGTTAGAGCATAATGTAGGCTAATCAATACCATAATTAGGTCATGAAAATGGTAGTCATTGTTTAGAGGCCATAGCCCAAAGCATATCTGTCTCTGAGCATTGATGTACGCAGGTTTTAAGGCAAATTTTGTGATAAATGTATGAAAAACCCCTTCATGTTATCCAGTTCTAGCAGGGGATATAGTTAATGATTTTCTGCTCCATAAACTAATCAATGCTGTGTCAGGCTGTTGTGTTTCATCATGCACAGCAGTGCGTCTGTATCTGTTGTCTCCCTTCAAGGGCAGATCTAATCACCGTTGTCTCAGGTGGTAGAAATGAGATGTCACTCAGATAGCAATAATTCAGAACTGCCCCGCCAGAGGTCTCATGTGAGGATCGACCACTCCAAGCACTGAGAATTTACCACTCTGGCACACTTCCACCATGGCCTTTCTCATAAAATAAATACCTAGAAAATACTTCTAAGGTCTTTAAAATGCAAATGGAAGCGTCACACCTACCACCTGTCAAGTTATTTCCACCATAAAGAGGAAAGAAATCTCACATTAAAAAGTGCTCTTAACAAGGATTCAGCAATTCACACATTTATTATATACATATACACTTCAGATATGCCTTTACTTTGCTGTGCTGCATATTGTTTTGTTTTGTATTGTACCTATAACATTGCATCACCATTACATTACAAGAGTGCTGTTGCCATAATATATTTAATATATTCAAGGGCAGCAGACCTTGACATTGCCATTCCCAGTGTTGAATCAATATCATATCCTGTAATCAGGCAAAGATTTTTGTTTATTTTTATAGTTTACTGTTTCAGTCATGCTTGTTTGCACTGTTGGTAATTATTAGAATGGATTATACATTATTGAATGTGGGATACATTGTTACAAGAGCAATAAAAAGGCCTATCCTGAAAAGGAAAGGTGAGATGATAAGGAAGGGAGAAAGGAGACTACTGCATATTGTAGCTAATCTTAAAACACACATTATAACCAGTTCAGAGAAGAACAAATCAAAGGAATAGTTTAACATTTTGGGATATATACTTAATTGCCTTTTTGACAAGAGGTAGATGAAAAGATTGATACCACTCTCTTGTTTGTATGCTAAATGTGAAGCTACAGCCAGTAGATTGTTAGCTTTGCGTAGCATACACTCTGAAAACAGAGGGGAACAGCTAGCAAGGCTCTGTCCAAAATTCAACCAACTAACACCTTTAAATGAATTTAAAAAAGGCAAGATCTGAAGCTAGTATCAACTAGCCAGCCTAGCTGTATCTCTGGCTAAGCTAAGCTAGCTGGTTCTCCTTTTATTTAGCATACAGACATGAAAATAATCTTTTCATTTAACTCTCAATAGAAAATTGAACAAACATACTCTCAAAATATTGTTTTAAGTTGATGATAGTTTGAAAAAAATTGCAAATCTGGTCCAGAGTTCTACCGACTGTTTCATGCTGGTAGAGGGCTGCACAACATCTGGGTCATGCCAATGCAACCAAGCATTTCAGAAGAAGTGTTGATAACAAAATTCAACATTGTAAGATAAACTTGTGCTTCAGAACATACAAACTCTAGCGACACAGTGACATCTGAAAGAAACTGAAACTAAAGCGTTCATATAATGTCACCAAATCTCTCCCCCAAGCACAGTAAACATTATAACAGCTTGTCAGGTGTCCAGTATAAGTGGCACAAAATATCACAGACAGTATTAAGCTATTTCCTAAAGCACCATTCTAACACAGTGTAGTCTTTGTGATGGAAAAACTAAAAGATGTATATATGAACATCTGCTGAACACAGCCAGACTAAATCATCTCAAGTGGAAAACTGCTGGTGAACATTCCTGTGCATTCAGTGGTGAAATCTACTACGTGAGGTAACTTGCGGAAAAATCCAATATGAAAGCAGATCAACTCTAAATAATCGTTTCTGATATGTAATTACATTCTACATAGTGAAGTATATCAAGTCATGCCATTGTTTAAACATTTCTGAAACGAAATCATCCAGCAAAAAAGGCAGAAAAGCGTCATTCCGTACTACCAACTACCCAATCTGGCCCCACTTATATGTGATCACAGACTGTCTCTTGTTTGGAGGTATTACTGCATCAAATGGGCAGAAGATTTACTTCTACCCTAACACTGAATCAAATAAGTATATATTTTTTAAATTGCACAGAAAAGAGAGTCAGGCAAACAATGAGTGTCAAAGAGTTGCAACGTGTGAGGAGTTTCTGGTTTCTGAGGTGTTTCACTACTAAATTCCCATTTTCTTTTAATGATATCCTTAAGGTTCCTCTATGTAGAAACAAAGGAATCTTGTGGATAATTTAACAATAACATTTGTTCATGCTATGACCATCAGTTTTAATCACGTAAACTTAGTTTCTGAGACATTGTTTTTCTATCATTGTTTTTTCTATCAGTTTGATATCATCATGATTTAAGATCTTAAATGTATTATCAAGTTTCTACAAAGCTTCAGCTCTCCAATATTGATGCACGCAACAGAATTTAAAGCTCAGTAATTTGATGTTTCTTACCAAAATGTTGCAGTTGACCACCATCATCAATTTTGTATTTACATGGACTTTCACCTATGAGATACCAGATCATTTCTAAAGTGGTTGTTGGGTTGATAATTTAACTGAGAGTTTCATGCACCATCCAAGCCTTGGGAGTGCACCAACTGACAACTGACTGACAGTCAGTAAACACTGTCAGACCTCAACTTGCAGAACCCTGGATGCCCCAAAAACTCCCCCAACTTCGCAACTCTATTACTCTTTGAGGGCATTGTTCATTACTAATCCTAACCATCTACAAATTGGTCAATCCTTGGTTTATAATTGACCATTAATGTGCCACTACACGGCGATGTTGTCTCGGTGCTAGTTTGTTGGCCAGCAGACAAGCCAGGGCAATGCCTCCGATCTGGGTAAAGGCTAATCCCAACACAGTGGCAGCAATGTGGAAGACGTTGTCGTTGACCAAGCTGAACACTTTGCGGAAGCAGCCGTGTGGATGGATCCCTGCAGCAACTACTCCTTCGCTATCCTCTGACAGAAGAGGTCGATTCTTGCAACCCTTGCGCCTCACACAGCAGCTGTCCGGCAGGGACACAGAGGTACCGTTCTCAGTAGGAAGGAAGGTCATATGTTGGATAGCCCAATCTGAAGTGAGCCAGTCTCGCCAGCCCTCAGCTCCACAACACTCCAGGGCCCTCTGCAGGCTGTCTAGAGCGTCGGCACGGCCTTCATCTTCTGTGTAGCCGGCCACCGCTCGCTGTAAGCCACTGCGAAATCCTCCAGCAATATCTTCACGGTAGAAGAGGCCTGAAAGTCCAGCTGCCAAACCAGCTATAAGTGCAGCAAGTTGAAAGAACCCATAAGCTCTTAGCACACATGGCAGGTTTGCAGCCACCCCCAGACAACCTAAGAAGCCCCAGGCGGTGACGGCTGCACCTGTGGAGAGAAGGATGAGTGGTGCGTTGGGGTAACGATTGGCAGACAACAGCATGTAGTCCGCCAGTGATATCTGAGCCCACACACCCAGGGTGAAGAGGGCCAAACCGGCTGCCCAGAAGAGGCAGCTGAAAGCCAGGAGACCCAGGCGCAGGAGGTGCATGACTCCCACTGGGCGGCAGCAGGGTGGGGCAGCACCCACAGGTGGAGGTGCAGGGGGCGCCAGGGAGGCCTCTGAGCACACAGACAAGGATAGTCGCTGGTGCTGCTGGTGGAGCTGCTCCTCTTGCTCTTGGTATGGTGATAGCAGGTAACCAGGGATGGCAGAGAGTCGACGAGGAAGAGGAGGAGGAGTTAGCAGGTCGAGAGCCCGTGGAGAGGACAGTCTTCGCACAGCTAGCTGCTCGCGCTCCCTGTCCAAAGCTCGTCTAGGACTCGGCCGGGCTGACAACGAGTCGTAGGGTAGTGCAGAGCTCATGATCCTGGCTCCGGCTTTATCTACTCCCCTCTCTCTCTTTTACACACTCCCCCTCTCTTCTTTCCTCTATCAATGCCTTCACTCTCGTCCTCCTGCAACACACAATCTCCCTCCCACCTCTTTATGACTGGTTATTAATCCACCACCAACACAACCAACGGCGACTGGACTGTAAATCTTGCTGATGGGTATTGCTTCGTGCTGTTATCTGCATCCACAGCCCCCCTTGTTTCCACCCTATTTGTCTGTTTATTTCGGGTGTTCTTTCCACCTGCATGGTCACCAGCTCTCAAAATTCCTCCGCTGATAGTCACATCCCGACATCTGCTCGCTCACTGCTGCCCCTCGCTCTGGTCAAGGCGAGAGACGATGGCAGTGGGATGGACTGAGAGACCATTCATGCACACCCTCTCTCGGTGTGGAGGAGACTTCTTTTTGAGTTCGACTTTGGTCAATTTGTGGAATAAAAGATGGGGAAAAAATCTAATTTTCTATGCAGTGTATGCATTTTTGGTAGATCATTGTCAGTCAAGGATATAACAGTTTGAAACCAATGCTTATAGGATTACAGTTGGATGTGAAAATAAATTACAAAAACATGCAATAAACAAATTTTGTAGTACATAAAATCACATAATCAGGTCAAGAGCTTAGTCTGCAGTGCAGACTAGTGCCACAAAAGAATTAATTAGTGCATTTAGATGAAGTAAAAGGTCAAACAAATTTAAATTGACATGAAGTATTTTTCATCAACATGTACCATGTATCATTTTGTAATGAAGCACCCCTTATAAATGGTTTAATAATAATATAATAACAACTTTTGGATTGCCAGGCTATGAAATACACTTTTTGCTCATCTTTTTCCATCCAACAGCAGTACACTATGTCTGTGTCTTTTTAAATAACCCAGAAATAGCTCTCTTATACTCCTAACGTATAGCCCTTTATTAAAGATGTACGAACTATGTAAAACAGGTAACAGGTAAAAATATTTAGAGACATAAACCACGCTAGAAATAGAAAACCAATTTAAAACCACTGAAAACCCCCTGTAGATGGCATTTTGTGGGTCCCCTGTTAAACAATGCTGCCAGGTTTATCCTGGTGATTCCTGCTTGGCATCGGCTTCCCTTCCACCACCACCACCACCAAATCAGAGCTAATTAAAGCCTCTTGGTTAATTAAACACGTTCAAATGGCCCCTTTCTATAAGGACAGCCATAAGTGACATGATAGCAGAGAGGGAAATACCCAGATAGATTGGTGGGGGATGAGTAAGTGTGTGCAGAGTTGCAATCTAGTCTCATCCTGCAGCTTTACACCATAAATTCTGACTGTTTGGGATGCAGAAAAAATATTTGAGGGATACAACAGTGATCAGGGAGAAGAGAAGAGAGACTTTACCACAGACAGACCTGGAGGTCTGTAGAGGAAATGAGGTTGTGTTTATGATGTTTATAGTTAATCTTTGCTCTGTAACTGTCAGCTCACACAGTCATTCAGTTTTATGTGCACTCCGGAAAGAAATGAAGGAAACATCATTCAAAGACACCTCCTATAAGAGCTCGTCAGAAATACAGCAGCAAGAAATAGAGTTGTGGGGAAACCACTTTCCATTTTTGCGGGTATACATGTGGAGGTGATGTTTCCAGTGGTCTACACAATAAAAGCAGAATTTGAACATTTGAAAACTTTGTTCAGCATCAAGTGTTTTCTCTGCTTTCCAGTCCTTGTTATTCATCTTGTGGCCCACTCATGAGACGCTGCCTTTAAGTATAAGGAAATGCGGGACTACCGAATCACACTGTTCTCAGCAAAGAATAAGAAAAAAAAAGCATTTCTTACATGGCACTGGATTATATTATACAGATTTCAGTTTTATCATATACACCTTGAACTTATTCCCTGCCACCAGTGGCCTTTAACATCTATGAGTTCTTGATTACAATGTGAAACTTTTGGAGTTGTCAGCTGAATGCAATGTATCTTCTTCAATTATTGTTTTTTTCTCTAAGAATTTTTCTACCTGTGCTGAATGTGAACAGTTTCACATTATGTGTATATTTTCGTACTATTATCCACGACACAGTGTTCATGCACTGAGTGATTTTAGGAGCAATGAGGGACCAAGCAACTGATGCATGTGCCTACAGGATCCACTTGTCTGAGTGTATCTTGTTTTCAATTATGCAGCCATGATAATACATTTAAAAAATATATATTTTTTACTTTAAAAGAAGCAGTGTGGCTTGAATCTCTGTTTGGATTTAAACCTGACACTGTCTGTACGTCACTGACATTGCAGTGACAACACAGAAAGAAACGGACAGTATCTGGAGTGAAAAATCAATTTAATTAATTTAGTTCACTTGAGGTTTCCAGTTAAAACAAACTATTCTAAACATAATTGTAATTTCCCTGTTGCAAATTTCAAAGCAAACTTTGATATGTCAAAATGATAAGTGTAAATTTAACTTAAATTCCTCAAAAGGTTGAAGGATGCAATAGTACCAAACTCTCCTTGTCCACTAACTTTATTATTTATTCTGAAATATTCTTTTTGACGATTCCACTAATTAAACCACTGAATTAGTCTCTATTGTTTTTTCAGATATTTGATTCCTTAGGCTGTATGGAGTCGACAGACTGTGCAGCTTCTCCCTCCTCTCTGTGTGTCTCCATGTGTTTCTGCAGCTTTGCCTTAGATGTGAATGTTTTCATGCACTGCTCACAGTACGGCTTCTGTGGCTTCTGTCCTGAGTGACTGCGTTTGTGTCGCGCCAGCTCAGACGAACTCCTGAATTTGAGTTCACAGACATTGCAGGCGTATGGCCTCTCCCCCGTGTGAATTCGCTGGTGCTGCTGGGCCTCGGTGAGGGTGAGAAACGACTTCTCACAGTGTGTGCAGGGGAATGGCCTCTCTCCTGTGTGAATGAGGTTGTGTCTGGTCAGTGCGTGCGGTTTGGTGAAGCCCTTCCCGCAGTAGGTGCAGGGGTACGGGCGGGCTCCCATGTGGGTGATGATATGTTCCTGCTGGGTTTTCTTGCTCTTGAAACACTTGCCACACTGAGGGCAGGAGTAGGGTCTGTCGTCCACATGTGACGTGTGGTGTTTTGAAAGCTCTCCCTGAGACAAAAAACCCTTCCCACACTGGGAGCAGAGGAAAGGTTTCTCCCCAGTGTGCATCCTCTCATGTCTGGCCAACACAGGCACCAGCGTGAACCTCTTTGGGCAGTGGGAGCACTGGAAAGGCCGCTCGCCTGTGTGAACACGGAGGTGTTTCATGAGCATGAAGTGGAGTGAGAACTGTTTGTTGCACTGGTTACAGTGGTAAGGACGCTCCCCAGTGTGAGTGGACAGATGCCTCTTTACATCAGACCTTCGAGTGAATGTCTTCTCACATTGCGGACACTTAAACTGAGGCTTCACTCGATGTATCTGCCGGTGCTGGGAGCGCGCAAGGAGGGAGTCGAAGCCCTCGCCGCACTTCTGGCAGATGTAGCGTTTACTGGTGACGTGGGACTTCTTATGCTCGAGCAGCTCAGAGGAAGTTGCAAAACTCTGGGTACAGATGGAGCAGATCTGCGGTGGCCCACACTCCTGTGAGTGAGACTTCTTGTGGTGGACGGTTAATGCGCGGAGATTGGCGAAGGAACATTTACACAGCTGGCAGGGGAAAGAGATGGCCACGCCGCGATGTTTGCTCTCATGCTTTGCCAGATCCCACGAGTGCTGGAACGTTCGGTCACACTGCGAGCAATGAAAAGGTCTCTCTCCAGTGTGAGTGAGCTGGTGCCTCCTGACGTCTGACGTACGAGTGAACGTCTTACCGCATGTTTCACATGTGAGGGCTTTCTGTTTGCCCCGTGACTGAGAAACGTTGACTTTGCTTTGATCATCAGGCAGATCTGCTTTGCTCTGCTCTGCATTTCCTTTGGGGAAGAGTTTAATAGATGTAAATATTTCATCAGTGCTGGAGGGAGACGGTGTAAATTTGGCTTCTGAGGGAGTCCTGTACACTTCTGTTCGAACAGTCTGCATGTGGAAGTGAGGAGGGCTGTTTTCATCTGAGCTGTGGAAGGGACACTGTGAGCAGGTGAAGATGATGGTAGTCATTTCATTAGAACCCCCTGCAAACAAAATACAGACACAGGTGTCAGTAAAATATGTGGATGTTGCTTAAAAACTCCAAGATGTTTCTCCTCTTCATGTCAACATTACCTTTGTCGATTCCTTTGACTGCTATCACAGAGGGGGCAACTGATACATCAGCTTTGCTCCTGGTGAAATAAAAGTATAGTTAAATTTCACATCTGCCAAGAGGACTGCATGGATGATGGAAATATTATTCAAAATTTAATGTGTTTTTGTGATAATCATTATTTAGTGCAGCAAATTTCCTTCTTAAAGAGCCATTTGTAAGTTTTCTCTGCTGTTGAACATGGTTTCCTGAAGGAAGCAGGTGGCGCCGACTGTCTCTTGTCAAGAGCTTCAGCCATCGTTGCGTTTACAATACAAGATGTTATAATACGCCCAACGAGCAACGCTGTTGTCAGGACAGATTGGAGGCTACAGTGAGTCGCTATCCGAACTTCAGTAAAAGAAAAGATGCTAATGTTGGCTATGTAGCGATAGCAAAACTTACAAATAGCTCCTTTAAAAAAAAATAAAAAAAATAAATCAGTGCCAAACACCCAATGACCCCAGGAATTTCACTAAAGATGCGTCCCAGCGCATCTAGAAGATGTATCTTACACAGTAATTTTCTTTTTAAAAATACTATCTCAAAAGATGATGCATTTATTTATTTATATATATGTACTATAATATAAATGCTTTTTGTACATTTTTGGTTCCTCTGTCGTGTCCTTTGACGATCTCTTGAATTTATGCATCTCCTGCCAATTAGGTGAGGTCTTCATTTGTAGGCGAGAGGATCTGCGGGTGTTAGCCGAGCTGGCAGACTGCTGTGTTTCAGAAACAGGAGGTTCACTGGAGACATCTGCCATTATTTCTTCGTGGCCAGAGAGGGATTCGTGGTCATCCTTCAGCTCTGTACCAGAGGAGTTGTAATTGCTCTCTGTGCCTCCAGCTTCATCCGTCACCTCTTCAGTTGTTGCTACTTTATCATCAGTTTGGTCACTTGTTTCATATAATTCATTTGTTTTTCCTTCATCTGTAGCATTTCCTGATGCACACTCATCATTCAGCGATGAATCATTACTCTTTCCTGTCAACACATCTTGACCGAGGCTCTCCTTCCTTAGTGCAAAAGTTTTTGTCAGAGTCTCCAGCGCTTTAGCGACATCCACAGTTTCACTTGGTTCTTCTGCTCTCAAGCTGGCAGACTCCTCGCCACCGGCATTATCTGCACTTACAGCTACAATCTCCTCTTCATAGAAATCTGTGTGAACCTGAACTTCAGCTGACTCGATTATTTCCTCATCCACTTCAGACCCTCCAACTTCCACCTCAGTGTAAACAGCCACAACACTGTACTGGTCCGCCCCAACAAAAGTCACAGGGTTTAGCACATTAGCATAATTATGGATTGATTCCAGTCCAACTGAGATGTTTGTCTTTTGCGAGGGAGGAATGGATAAAGCAGACATGATGCAGCTGCCAATGGTGGATGAAGGGCCATCTGTAAAGACATAAGAAGTCAAAGGTTTCCACTGATGCTGGCAATAACTATACTTTCAAGGCACTGTACAATGACCCAGGACCTACAGATACTTAAACATTACATAACATGAAACATTTACTTTCAATTACTGATTAACTGATAGTTTAGTCCATAAAATGTCAGGAAATTGTGAAAAAATATCTATTACAATTTTTAAAGCTCAGGTGGAATCTTTGAACTGCATATTTAAATACATTAAATTTACAACTGTATATAAGGCTGGATATTGACACTGATCTACTGATTTGATTACATTTTATTTCAGAAATTCACGATTTTCACAATTTTTATTAAATTCTTGAAATTTCAGTTACATCAGATGAATATCAATATTGTGTGAAAATAAAAGCATTTCTTTGGAACTTAAATTTATTTTTGTTCCACAAGTAAATAACAGTGTTTTTTCTTTTGAATAAACTTCTTAAAGTTGATATTATGAACTAAGTTGTAAACACTTGTCCCTGTTATGAAATTATGGCCCTAAACAAGCAACCAAATAACTTAAATTTACTACAAATAATCACAGCAGTTGTGAAGAGAAAAGGCACCGTTACAAAAATCGATCTCATAATTATAAGACTCGAGTGTTGGATCATTCAACTGAAAATTACAATTATGATCATATAGGTATAAAACGACACCAGGCTGATGACACCGGTAAAGACTGCACACTGAGGATTTAACTTATATATTATATATACACTATAGCTTATGTGTTAATAAAATGGTAATATTAAGAACTGATGAAGACCTGACTGAGATCAAAATGTTATCCATTTAAGAAAAGGGATTTGGAATCAGTGTGCAGCCCTAACTCAAAGAATGTTTCTCAACAACTGAGTTAAACGATTTATTAGTTATAAAAACTGTTGCCAGCTTATTTTCTGTCATTTAAAAAATCACTTCAGTTCTACTTACATGGCATTTTCAGTAGTCCTGAACTCTTGTAGTGCTCAAAGATCAAGCTCAGCTCTTCATGTGAGGACTGAACACATTCCTCCAAAACAGAAGGTGCAGAGCTGAGCCAGGCTGCAGTCTGTAATCACAGTACAGCTGTTCTTCAGTTCTTGGTAAAACTGCACATGTTTTTGTAAAAGCAAAATAACCTGAAATATCTGGATGGACTGACTGAATACCTGTTTAAGGTCTGGTACTGGCAGCAGTTTTTCCATTTTTGAGAGCAACTCCCACAGTAACACATTCAGCGCTGCATCATATTGTTGCCCATATTCCACTGGGAACACCTCCTATAAGAGATAATTAAATCAATGAAATCTGTTTATTTTAGCATTTATTTATGCTAAGAAATTAATAATTAAAGTCTGTCTGACCTGGAAGAAGTATGCTCTCTCAATTGGATCTTTCAGTAGGCTCTGAACAAGTGCAATGAATGTGGACTCTGTTGTTTTCACCTCTGCGTCCCTGTACTGACACAGATTGAATTCATGTTATTAATAGAGGCCCTATTGCATCAGTAAATTTTTATCTGTTTTCAAAGTGTTATCCCTTCAAATGTACTTACATCTATGTTTGCAGAAGTTACTGGGAGTTTGTCCAAATAGCTCTGGATCACTTGAGTATCAACACAACCTCGTGCTGAGCCTTTGCATAGCTCCAGGATCAACTGTAATATGAACAAACTTAATAGGTTAGTTAATAACAGCTAAATTATCATATCTGTATGCAACGCAAACTGCAGGTTCTGCTCACCCTTGCTCTTAGACCCAGAATGAGCTGGGCTCTCTGTCTGTGGTTGATCAGTCCTGGCACTGCCTCTGTAACCATGAGCACAAACTCCTGGAGCTTCTCATAATTCATCACATCTTTCTGCTTTGCCAGCTGCCACATAGCAGCAGACAGAAGCTGCAATGGGGGCACCAGGAGGCGAAGAGATGAAAGAGGCAGGCCTGGGTCTGAAATATAAACGTGTGATGTTAGAGATGGACTTTGGAGGGCAGCAATGAGCTTTTAATTCAGAGAGAACAAACTTCAGAGAGATAAACTCATCAACAATAACTTAATTTACACCATTTTTAAATGAGCTCTTCCACAATACTACTATAATAGAGGCAATAATTCACTTAATCAAAGCAATGACACGTTACTGGCAAATCTTTTTGTTGTTGTTGTTGTTGTTTTTTTAAATTTCCTATGGGTAAACTACAAGCCATAAGCCTATGAACCGGTATACTTACTGGGAAAACATATTTAATTGGAGTTTTAAATTTGCAACGTAATGAAGCATACGCGGCTGTCCTTTAGATTTAGGGACAATGGAATGTAATACTTGACAATAATATTTGAAATCTGAACATAACAAGATGATTTCCAATTCATCGGCACTAGTCTAACTGCGTATATAGGTCATGATTCCTTTAAATAGACGGACCCCGCTAAGTGTCTGACCAACATTAACTTAGCCTTCTTTAAATTAGAGCTGGAGCAGAACATCAGTATACTTACCGTTTATTTTCTCTGTCGACCCAAGAAACTCCATTAGTGTAATACGACTTGTAGCGTTGAAAAATAAAGGTAAAATTATGTTGGTTGATTTAGTTGCTAACATGCGCTGTTAGCACGCAGGCACCCGCTTCCTCAAGTCTTGTCCTGCGTTTCCTCTTTTCAAAATAAAAGTGTGACAACGTAGTTGCGACTGCTTTTAACATAATGTGACTTTAAGTTTGGTTCATATAAACGACGTGCAAAATTTCAAAATGTATTATCAGGATAAAGAAATAACTTTAATTTACCCTTCAACCTGGTTAACACTGTTTTCATTATGAGAAGAAACAACCATGACTTCGCAAGACACACGGCAAGTTTAGGTACATTATATATGTTTTCTTCAAACTGTCAAAAAGTAGAGTCTAGGGAGAGTTGTAACTCTCAAACAATGCAGGCTGGGAAATCTGTTAATATGGAAGTTTTGTTTCTTTAGAAACTTAATTGAATGAGTATAGTGAACTCTCAGCAGTTCATTCGTTCAATTCACAATTTCAAGTTAAAAACTTAGAACAATTAATATTTACAGGGTATAAAATAGTCTGAAAAAATAAAATTAGACATTCCAGGTTGAATTAACTTGAATTTAACAATACTTAACTTACATATTCACATTAAGTTAACGATAATGTACGATGTTTTACCGTGTACGTCCGTATATTGTTGTTATTTTCTTCCCCCGTTTTTTTACTCTTCTCACGATATCACGCTGTTCTTCACATGCCTGCTACATTAACGTTTAATTTACACATACTCAAATGTTGTCTTTATAAAAGTTGTCACATTTAGAAACTGTCATGCTATGTGTGCCGCCACAAGACATAGTACCGGATGTTGTTCTTTTCCACAGACTTCAAAATAAAAGTTGACATGACAAATCCCGTTGGCTTTTATTCTCGCGTAAATCGCAGGTGACGTCACGACGCAACCCCGCAGCCAGGAGTCACATGAAACGTTTGCTTTAGCAAATGTTTTTTCTTTTTTTTTCAATGTACCGATTTCGGTATTTTTGCGTTGAAAAATCTCGTTTGTGAAACTGAAACTGCAATTTAATCTGCAGGAAGTGTCAGAAATTCAACATGGACGAGGACGGGCTGCCAATTGTGGGTTCTGGAGTTGATCTTACAAAGGTTTGTATTTAGCTAGCTAAGACAGCTAGTATTTACCAATTGGGGAAATAAGAAGAAACGAGTCAAAGCAGAGCTACAAGACAATAATCAGTGAAGATAATAGATTTATAAAACCTTGTGGCTGTAATGAAAGAAGCCGATCATTTGACTAACATTAGCATATTTGAACCCTGAGAAACTGAGCTGTCAGCATGACTGATGTTACACCTTAAGTTTCTCAATACATTTCTGTAATTTTCTAATGAATTTCCTAACTTCTGTGTATCAATGAGATGAAATGTTGAGTTAACTGTAGGGTGAAGTCTTCAAATGTTAAAAATCAAAAGATGTTCAGTTTACAACAAAAGGTGTCCAAGAAAAGCAGAAAATCTTATTTTTCTGCCTCTTTGCTTGAAAAGTGACTGACACAATTAATTGATCAAAATAGTTACCAGTTATTCTTCTGTTAAGTCGATTTTGACTAGTCGTTTTTGCCCTATACTGTGCTGTGTTGCCAAATACTATGTCTTCATAGTATTAGATATCTTCTTTTCCTCCCCCATATTTAAAATATACTAGAGGCCGGAGTGGGGAGAGGAATTGCTTTATTGAGATGGTGTGAATTGCTTAATTTCCTTAGCACATTACACTCTGGGTTGCCCCTCTGCTGCTTACTACTGTGACTTAAATAACTTTCATTGTGCAGGTTCCTGCTATTCAGCAGAGAAGAATTGTTGCCTATCTCAATCAGTTCGTTGTGCACACAGTTCGGTTTCTCAACCGCTTCTCCACAGTTTGTGAAGAGGTTTGTACTTTTCACCTTTTCGTCCTTCCTTCTGCTTTCTAATTTAGGTCACACTTACAATTTCTGTCACACTGAGTTTCTACCCTGATCTGTCAAACTTCTTTCCTGCAGAAACTTGCAAACATATCTCTGCGCATACAGCAGATTGAAACCACTCTGTGCATTTTGGAAGCTAAGGTGAGTTCTACAGTCTCTGCCGTCCCTCTGTTTGCAGTTTATGGCTTAATGTACATATCATGTCCATACACTCATCTTATATGGAACGTTGTTGTGCTCTGAGCAGCTGTCCTCCATTCCTGGACTGGAGGACGTCACAATAGATGGAATCGGTCAGCAGCAAACTGCGCAGGCTAATGGACCCACTACTGCCACTCCGAGCCAAGCAGCTGGTCCACCAGCAGTGACTCTGCCACCTCCAGAGGTAGATACACAGACATGCACACAAAATAAACATAAAGTGTTGCTCAGCTGTACTGTACTGCACAACAACCAACATTAAAAAAAAATTAATTTTATGTCCAAGAGATTTGCAACAGGGAAAATAAATACCACTCTCATGTCTATGTGTTAAGTATGGAGCTTGAGCCAGTAGCTTATTAGCTTAGCTTAGGTTAGCATAAAAGACTAAAAACAGGTTGGAAATGGCTCTGACCAAAGCTCAAAAAGCTTTCCAACACCTGAAGCTCACTGACTAATAGTTATATCTGGTTTTGTTGAATGCAATTTCAATTTGATGGTGGGTCTCAATGAAGTCACTGCACCCAGAGAGTTTCAGCACATACCTGTACATAAAACACACAACTTGTAATTTTTACATTTCTCTGTGTGAACAGATTAAAAGAAAGATACAGTGAGCTCCTTGGTGAGCTGTAGGGGTTTTTTTAGGTGCATTTTTGAGCACTGGAATGAACCAGACTAACCGTTTCCAAGTTATATGCTTGGCTAAAATAATCCACTGCTAGCTGTAGCTTTATATTTAGCAATAAAATTTGTCTTGACTTTATAAAAAAGTAGAAACACAAATACAGTTAGAGCAGTAGATCTATTGATGATCAGTATTACACAGTTCAGCATCAGATAAACAAACTCTGAAAATATAAAACCCACCAGAAATGCTAAACAAAGTTCCACATCTGATGTCTAGTTCCATGTAAACCGCGTGTTACTTCACACTGTGTTATTAATCTGAATATTTGGCACTGTAGCCCGCTCAGGCGCCACCAGAAGCTGCACCCATGCAGAAGGCAGAAGAACCTGCAGAGAATGTCATGACAGTGGCCAAGGACCCACGTTACGCTCGATATCTGAAAATGGTTCAAGTGGTGAGTCTACGATAACACCTGCATACTGTACACCTGTACTGTGGGGATGAAATATACTGTGTGTATCTTAATAAATGTTTAATCTGTAACAGGGGGTTCCAGTTATGGCCATTAGGAATAAAATGGTCTTGGAGGGTTTGGATCCCAACCTGCTTGAGTGAGTGTTACACTGTTAAATTCACACATGTTAATGTCTGTCATTAAACTGACCAATAACAATTCCCTCACTGCTGCTTACAGCACACCGGATGCCCCAGTTCCCGACGGAGGGACGAGAAGCACAGAGGATCCAGATGCTGCTGCCACCAGCTCTGACAGCGAATCGTCTTTCAGTGACTGACAAACTCATCCTCACCACAAAGCTTCCTGCAGCTTCCAGGCCATGCATCGCTATCAGAAGCTATGGGAGCTCCTTTAGGCCTGTTCTCAGAGGAGCACGAGTTTGCAGTGCGCCTGTAAAGGAGGTGCCAGCCAGAAGGAGCAGATGTCGGTGCCTGACACACAATATCGATCTAGAGTGATTGTAATTTCAGTTTGAATGAGCTGAAATGATTCTCTTGTTGGTCAATCAGACCTCGTCGAGTTTGATACATGATAAGCATTTTTGATTCATGATAATTTTTTTTCAAAAACAGGGAATTGTTTCTCCTGTTGTTATGTCAGAACATGGAAGTAGCAGGTAGTTTTTCTACAAAATTAGTAATTACAGGTTTTCCGTGGTAGAGACGTTACTACCACAGTAATGAAGAGATTCACTCATCACTTGGTAGCGCTGCCTCTTTTTGTTACAGGGTCCAGATAAAGCTGAAAAAAATAATGTATGTTGGATATTTGTTGTGTTAAGGCCAGGGAGAAAAATATGACAATGATCTTGTTCCATTGTGGATGGTTTATATATCACAAAACCTGTTCAGTGAGTCACGCGGCCTGTTGGGCGTCAATCATGAAGGACTGCAAAGTAATGGGAAATCACACGAGCATTTTCTGCTGTTCTGGATTCTTGAATTAGCAGTTTCTCTACATTTTAAAGCAGCTGCACTGTGCGAAACAAAAGGAAAACAGTTCATCTCTTATCACAGGATAATGTAACCAAGCTGCAGTAGAAGGATAAAATGTATTTCCAGTGTTTTACCCTGTTTACTACTGCATAGAAAATGAGGTTTTGCTTTTTAAAGTGACCACGTTGGAAGAGAGATTACTACAGTAGATTCAGTGTAAAGCCACTGATAATTTGACACTGTTCATTTAGACAAAATTACTGGCTTTAGAAAGTATTCAGACTCCTTCAGTAATTGCACTTTATTGTACCATAGATTTAAATTTAAATGGATTAATTATATCTTTTGGTCATTAATCTACACACAAAAACAAGAACCCTTTGCAAAAGATTATAAATCCCAAAATGAAATCTGAATACTTTCTGGAGCCGCTGTATGTGTCTTTGATTTATGATATAAAAGTCAATAAATAATAAATAGTGATGTTTAACCTGGCTCTGCTTTAGACACTTCCATAGCTAACATTTTTCCATTGACATGCCTCTTAATCTTGTAGTTTTAATGCCAGGAATAACAGTTGATTGCACAATGACCTCTGCTAGAATAAAGAGTAAACAAAGTTGCACTAAGAAATAACCCAGTGATAAACACCATTTGTAACAAAAAAAAAAAGGTAAACAACGGGTTCCTTTTGTGTTTGACTCTTTGTCGTTACACTGGTCTGAACTTGTAGAGGAACGGTGTCAGGAACACTTTAGCTTTACAGATAACAGATGTACTGTGTTTGGTCAGGTTTCTATGAATGGACATTACACCATAGTGACTGTGAAAAAGTGAGTGTGGAAAGTCTGGAAAGTACTTTGCTTACAAGAGCAAGAATTGTTGGATCTGAGTTTGCCTGTAATAAACACTCATACAGACTGCTTTTAAAAAAAAAAGAAAAAAAAGTGCATCTTTATTATACAGCTCAGCGGTGACGATCTGTGCAGTTCATTATATCACATGCAAAAATACAAGAGTAATTGAGTTAAAAAAACCAAAACATTTCCCTTGTTATTACAGTACCTCTAGAGTTCATCTGTGTCCATGTGACCTCCAGTCTGTTCTGGAGTACTTCATTATAGACAGGATCACAGCAGGGATCCTCCAAAACTAATGGCTGCTGATCTAAGTGTAATATTTCAGCCAGTGCCAACAGCCAACACTTCTGACCAAAACAGTTTGATTTTCTTTACCTTCAGTCAAGTCAATTCATTATTAATTATTAATCCTGATTTGTCTCAGAGGGCCTCAGCCTCTGTGCTTGTGTTTTTCTAGTGTGACCAGTCATATAACTTGTCAGCACAAAAACAACAGCTGCAGTACTGACAGTGGTTCCCAACCAGGGACTTTATAATGTATAAAAATGTAAGAGTTAAAAGAGATAAGAAACACATTAAAATATATTCCTCTTACACAAAATAGCTGCACTTTTCTCAAATGAGTGCATTTCAGGTGTATAACTGCTGGACACTTTGACTCTAAAAATCCCACAAATTAAACAGTTTGAGAAGGAAAAGTCAGCCTTGTGTTGAGCTGCCTAAGACCCACGTCAGCATTAACCTGTGACGAGGGGCTGCAAGAACACATTCATTTTGTTCTGTGGGGTCACAAGCGTGAAAACGTCAGGAACCACTAAACCAAAGCTGAGGCGAAGCACAGCGAGAAAAACCTCTTCAACTCTGATCAGCTTCAATTCCTGTGTATTATAAGAATTACATTTGGCAGTCTTACTGAGCAAACTAGTTAAACTACTTCCTACTGAGGAGTGCACAGTTACTACCACAACCAAAACGCTGAATTGGAGCATCCATAGAGAGGGTTTTCTTCATTAATGCACTGTTACAACATTACAGTGACCCAAAGAAAACACAATTTAGAAAATGTAAAAATAAAACAAAAACAACTTCTGCTACTGAAACAGCAGCATTTGATTAATAATCCAAGTAATATTTCAGACAGTTTGTTGGTGTACATAAAATAAGCACCTACATACAGTATCAGTGTATCATTGCCCCTTTTCTCACAAAACTTCAGTCCTGACCACGCTCCCACAGAAAAACGTGTCATTAGTTTGACTGGTATTCAGATGGAGCCCCATGCGCAGCCATCATATGTTCACTGTGTGATGAACTTCTCTTATTAGTGGTCACATGTCTGACAGGACGTGTCACACTAGTGTAGCAAAGAGTCAAGAGTGCAAAGTGCAAAGTGATGTTTGACTGAACACGATAAGGACGCAATAAGGACACTTGAAAAAGGATTTGCGATTGTATAAAAAGTATAAAGATAAAGGATGTGGTCAGTCACGTCACATCTGACAGACAGCCTGTTGTACAAAATATATAAATAGCAATATAAAAAGTGGCTATTTTACTAACTCAGTCAGGTGACACATAACACATGATGTTATAAAAGCCTTACAGTATAAAAGACTCTTTAAAACAAATGCAGCCCTGAAAATACCGTTCATTCAAAGTTCTGCTGGGAGTTGGAGATCAAGATTAGTCCTCAAACTCTGTGTTCACTCGTAAGGTAAACAGCTGTAGGAAATAAACGAGAGCGATAAGAATCCCCTTCCAGTAAAAAAAAAACAAGTTAACATTCAGTGTAATGGTCTGATACTCACTTTGAAGTCATCGATGTATGTGAGGAAGAAGCAGACAAAGCTGAAGGCAACAACCCACTCACACACAGCGCTGGCTAGATGGAAAGGATAGTCCTGTGAGAGGGACACAGAGGCTGCAGTCAGTCCACACTCAACTACAACTAACAGTATCTATCTATCTATCTATCTATCTATCTATACTATACTATACTATACTACAATGAGTTGATTATTAAAATATTTGCTCACCTGGTCTTTACTGTCTCTGTGCAGTGTGGTTTGTTTTACAAAAAACGCACAGATGACAGCTGAATTATCCGTGAAGGAAAATGTCACTTCAACACTTGACTGGCTCTTGTAAGTGTGTAAGGAGTGCAGCAACACTCCTATGCAATGACACCAATGATAATCGACAAGAGAATTATGTTGCAATCATTAAGCTGAGGTTCATGGTAGTAAATGCAAGTCATGCATGTTCACAAAATAGGAAGAAGGTCAGGAAACAAAAAGCATCTCCTCTTTTTTTTTGTTTTTTTTGCAGTTTCACAGCTGTGACTTCTGTGGCGAAAGGATACTGGGGAAAAATGCCACAGCAGCAAGGATGGAGATGCCCAGACGTACTCGACACACAACCACTGAGGATCCAAACGGATAGGCTTGGTATGATATCACAGACTGGACGATTATATATAAGACACCAGAGATGAAGAACAGCAGAGCTCCTGCATCATGAACGTTTACCACCGTTGTCTCCTGCAGTCACAGAGCAGAACAATGTGCCGTTAAACACTGCATTGCATCATATTCATGGGACTGAAAATGTCCGCTATAGGTGTGGAGACCTACCTGAAAAGTTGCAACAATGCACATGCTGAAACAGGAGAGAATCCCCAGCACCAGAGCTGTTTTATTCAGGCGCGGGCTCACCACCCTTGTTTCCACACTCAGCTTCTCCACAAACTTGTATCTGGCGTACATGGTGACTACTCCTGTGCAAGGGTCAGATTGGTACATTTACCACTTCAACATGTCATGATCCCTCTTGCATCCCAAGCCAAAGATTCTGCTTTCATTTTCTCGAAAAGGGGAAATGTGACTAACATCTCTGGAGAGTTTGGTTCCTCCCAGGAGAAAACACAGCGTTGCTTAAGAAGTGGCAGAAGCTTAAACAGAAAGAGGGTGAAAATACCTGCACATGCTGAGATGAATGTCATCAGGCCAAATATACAGCTCTCCGGGGGGTTTGCACCTGTGTCACTGAGAAGAGAGAAGAGATTTGCATTTGTACAGATGATAGTAAATCATAACTCTCCGTTATTTCAGACTTTATGTAGGTATGCATTTAGTCAGTTCTTAAAACACAAGTCTAATTTTAAAGGGAGAAGTGAAAAGAAGCTGCACTCCTCTGACAGAACAGCTGTGGTCTCGCAGCTGGAGTTTGGGTACCGGCTACGTTTACGGAGGAAAACGAAACTAAAGTTTTACTTTGGCCCAACTTTTGTCTGGTTTGCACAAATCGCTTCATGAACATAAAACATCGACATGTGTGTTTTTTAGAGTTCAATCTGACCTGTTATGAAGATGAAAGAGTAACTGTTTTATCATCTGACTGCTTCTTTTCTGAAACATGAGGTACGTGTGATTAAATCTTACCTTATGTACGGGAAGATTACATCGACATCTTTTCTGAAAATCGAAATCACGTAGGAAATAATGAAAGTGCTGGAGGACCAGATGACCAGAAACACTGGCAGAAAGCAGAGTCCCTGCATGAACCAAAACATCTCAGCAGAGCTTTTTGACGCGGAACTTCCACAAAACGCTGTCGCACTCGCGCGAGCAGGAGAAATAGATCCATACAGTAAGAAATCCACCTTTATGTGGGTCGTGGTGTGTGAAGCCTGTTACCGACAGTCACATGTTGCCGTGTGAACAAGACTGAACCTGGCCTCTGCTAATGAGCTGATTTACAGTATACAGTAACCTCTTCCCCAAAACAACTCCCCGTGGGCAGGCCCGGCCTACGCAAATAAAATCTTCCGTTATATCCAGCTCTCCTCCTTCCTCCCTTTATCTGGCTTAAAAGAAATACCCAATTCCGTTGAACTCCCAGGGACCTGAGCGTCAGTGCCAGGAACAACAGCAGGGGAAGTATTAAGATGATTAATTGAGGTATCAGCACCACAGTACAGAGGTACATTTAAAAACAATAGAATTATAAAGAAAAAAATGCACTTTAATTATGAAAAGTTATTTTAAAAAAAAAGTAGTGGTGGAAGAAAAGAGTTTCTACTTAAGTGAAAGTAGCATTACCACAGTACAGAAAAACTTAAGTTAAACTACAAAAGTGTTATACTAAGTACCTGATGTGTGTTTGATACTGTTTGATAGGTCCCAGTGTGGCCTCTAGTTGGGGTCCTGAAGAAAAGGTTTCCCTGGGTGAACCATGTTTGTGCATAAGGTAGCTCATGAGTTTAAGGCAGTGGTTCTCAAAGTGGGATTCGGTGATGCCAAGAGCATTATTACACTTTCTGTAATAAAACATCAAAAAGCAAAAGTCTTATCAGACGGAGGGCCCTGGGACAAAATCTGATGGTCAAATTTGTGTCACTTAAGGAGTCCTTGATGTTTGAGAACCACTGCTTTGTGGTACTGGAGCAGCTTGGGCCAAATATGAATGATTTCTGCAGGACCGGATCATCCTGAAAGGGGGCCCCCCCCTACCGATCCCCCTCACCCCAATGTTCCCCCAATCCAACCTGTCAGGAATACTTTGTCAGACCCTAACCCTTATACTGTGGCAATTTTATTAAATCTATTCAGGAACATGCACCATATAAGCCTAACATTAACTGCATTAGTAAATGTGGACCATGTTGTAAAGAACCAGGAAATACCTTAAGGCCCTTAACATTTCAGTTTTCCTGTGGCACATGGAGTCAGCCCTATGGAAATTTGCTCAGTAAGTAATCCAGCCTTGGAGTAGCTGTTCCATATTTTAAATAATGGGGTAAAGTTTTCCACTAATGGAGCTGCGTTGGATCAAATAGCTGGGGAAGCAATGGATCAGAGCCAAAGGTATTGAGGATGAACCTGGAACATGTGGTGCAGGATCACAGCCAGAAGACTCCCAGCTCGCACTTCTAATCAAGATTTTCGGGGTACAATGAGTACAAAGTGCCTGACATGTTGCCAACCTTAAGAAACTGTTGTTTGAAGAGTTTTTTTTGTTTGTTTGGCTTGGTTCACTCCGGGGACACTTGACTCAGCAGAGAAGGAGTTTACTGGCAGGCCAGAAAAATGGCATCCTCCCTGGTTTAAGGAAGTGAGATCATGGAGAAGGACTTCGGTTTGTCTGAAAGAAATTCTGGAAATTTTTCAAATAAATCAGAATGAAGGCCAGATGCCAACCTTTGATTACAAGATGATGCAAGCAAGAGAAACCTTTATTTTAATTATGAAAGCCAAAAATGTTCAAATTTACTGCATTTTCTCCTTCCAGACCAGGTCTAACTTACAAACCTCTACATTTACATTGAATATGATCAAGAAATATACTTCAGAAAACTGTTTAAAACACAGTTTCTCATTTGTGAAAGCTTTATTTTATTTGTGAAAACAGAAAACACAAAGTGTGACGGCCCCTCAGCTTGGTTTCCTGCTGTGGCTCCTCTTGTCTTCAGGGCTGCAGACCAATTGACGACCTTAATCAGCAGCATAGGACACACCCGGGCCGATGCCTCATCACCTGTGTGCACGGCCTTGCCTTCTCTTTCGGTGCATCCTGGATGTCTTCCCTTGCTATTCACTTTCCTCTTTGGCTATCCCTTTAAACTCTTAACATTTTCTTCCCCAGGTGCCAGGGGCCGCTGAGTTGAGGGCATGGCAGAGTGGCCTTGCTGGAGAGACCAAGGGGAGTGGTAATAATTTATTGATATGTTTTGGTAAGAGCAAGTTGTATTTGTAATGTTAGAATTGTTATGTTTTGTTTTTCAGTATCGGTGGTTGTCTCCTGCTGGGGTTCCGGTTTTGTTTTGTTTTTTTGTTATGGGGGGGTGATGGCCCCTCTGCTTGGTTTCCTGCTGTGGCTGCACTTGTCTTCAGGGCTGCAGAACAATTGAAGGCCTTAATCGGCTGCATGGGACACACCTGGGCACAGTGTCAGATGTAGCAGATCTCCTCACCACACACACACACACACACACATACACAGACACACACACACCTCTGCAGCATGAAGTTTCATTAGGTTTTTTTCCTTTTTGTTTTTACAGCACAACATCCAGCAGCACATTTTCACTTATCCACTCCTTACACGACTGACCTTACAGATTCCTCCCATTTACTTTTTGTGTTTATTTTGATCATTTTCTTAGAAATAAACAAGTTTATTTAGTATACCCATGCTCCTTCCATCTTTTTTGTGCAGAGAGCCGGGCTGTAACATCTACATCTGGATCACTATCCACTATAGGCCTACTTAGGCTTGTCAAATCTGGACCACATTTACACATAAACTATACAAAAAAACTATTTAAAACATCGTTTGAGATTTGTAAAAAACCATTGAATTTGAAGCAAAATTAAAAAGAGGGTTCAGGAGTTGGCTGACAGGAAAAAGAGCTAAAAGGAGAGTGAATATTTGACTTACACACTTTCATGAATGGTAATGTTGCTCTGTATCGCTGCTGGATGTGTAAAAAGGTAACCGTTTGCTAATGACGCGGCGGTGGTGCTGCCAAATGCGAGAAGACCATGAAGGCATCACGGACCCTGCTCCCCACCGGCAGAGGGCGACAGCGGGCGGCGGGACCACAGCAGCGTCACCACCACCGAGGAAGCGTGAAATGTATGGTTGGTTGTCATGTGTCATGCAGTCTGGCTGGCGGTCAGCTGACAGAGCGGACCCGTTTGTGATGTTTACTTTCTTTGTTTAGTGCGTGTACCTGCGTTTTTCTTTGAATGAATGCAGCGCTATGCTTCGCCACGGAGAACCATGGTAGTCGTGAACTCGGTGCTGAAGCTCGTGCAGAGGCAGACGTACACCTGTCTGTCCCACCGATACGGGCTATACCTCTGCTTTGGGGGGATCGTCCTCATGATAGTTTCCGCCTTTCAGTTTGGAGAGGTGAGGTTCCTCTGTCTTCCTAACTCCAGTCATGTGTTTGGATGAGCTAACGTCTTCCCTCTTCGGTAACTGTTTTCAGTGTAGCACGGGTGGCTCGGGCTGAGCCTGGGTCTGTTGCGTTCAGGCACCGTCTCACCAGATTACACTCAAAAATATGCTTCTTTTAAAGCAATCAACGTGTCAATTAAACTAAACTATCTTGTTAAATCAGTAAGTGAGGCGCTTCACGGACCTTTGGGGTACTCCTGGAAGTTCGGCTTCAAAATAAATCACACAGCACTTTATTTCAAGTAAAATGATAATCAGCCCTCTGCGTTTTTAAGATAAACATTTTTTGCTGAAGAAGCTTTGTTAATATCACGCCAAGCTATTAATGAAGCTCAGATTTTTTATTATAAGTTCTTCTTGTGTAAAATTATTGAAGTTATGTACCTGTGCAGATGATAAAGGAAAGTACAATGTTTTGAATGTGGTTTAGTTTCGTAGCCTTGGCTTTAGTTGATATTTGGGACGTAACCACATGAGAGCAACGTGTCCCAGAGGACTGCATCATGTAATGTCTTCTTCTCTTCATGCAGGTGGTGGTAGAGTGGAGTCGAGACCAGTATCATGTGCTGTTTGACTCCTACAGAGACAATGTGGGTGGAAAATCCTTCCAAAGCAGGTGAGAAAAATGCAGCATTTATGAGTAATTTATGATAAGTTCACTATTGTGTCACTCCCTCGTTCAGTCTAATGTGATTCTGTACATAGCTCACTATTTTTGCTGAAGTTACAGTAAGAAGTGCAAAATCTTTTTGGGTGGGGTTAACAAGGATAAAAAAAAACTGTGCAAACCCAGAGCCCACTTTCTGCAGAAACATTTCTTCATGCCACACGAGCCTGTCCGTACCCTTCCTTTTCAGAGAAATCTGAAAGAACAGGACGTGATGTAGCCATGCATGAACTAAAAACTAATTTGGTGCACTGGGGAGGGAAACAGGGTCACAGCCTTGCAGTTTGAGCACTGTCTGAGTGATGAGTGTTTCTCTTTGCAGGCTCTGTCTGCCCATGCCTATTGATGTAGTGTACACGTGGGTGAATGGCACAGACATGGCTCTGCTGAAGGAACTGAAGGTGGTCAAAGAGCAACTGGAGGAGGAACAAAGAGCTCTGAGGTAGCTGGGGCCCCACACTCTGTGCCGTTGTAATGCTGAAGTCGAGTTTGATGGTTATGTAGAAGTAATGTAGGCTGTAATACAATTATAACGGCCGTACAATTAAAATGAACCTTTATCTTGCTACAGAAGGTGTTGTCTTGTTATATATGAAGCAAACACACTCACATAACTTTCAGGTTTTCACTTGAATACAGTCAGAATTAGCACACAAGCTTGAGCTGCAGCGTTATCACTTTCACTTTGATTGGCTTGTTCAGACATTCCCCCCAGAAGAAGAGGGATCGAAGGTCTGACTAACTCTAACTGAGGAGAAATTTCCCATGTTTTCTTCTCTCAACAGTTAACATGAAAAAAAAAAAAAAAAAAGTATTAAAATGTTGCAGCTGCTGTGTTTATCGGTTTCTACTGACCTCCTCAAACAGCGCAGTGCTGTGCAGTGTTGTCACTCTAGGTGCTTCATGACGAAAATAATGTGAATTTGTTGCACACAGGGAACGCCTGGGGAAAAATGCAAGTGAGACAACTGAAGCGCCAAAAGACAGGTGAGTCTGAAGGTGTGACGGGTGTGTGATGATTCATGGTCATTTTACAGGCTGCATTTAGTTTTGTTGTTGAATTGTATTGAGGTTTTTCTACTAATTTGTCCAATCATTTTGCATCACTGATGGCACTAAATAACAAATGACCTGTCGGTATATAACATAATACCCAAAAGTTTAATACAGCAAGAAATATGAAAGAGATAGCTAGTGCTGTGTAAATGGTGAAAAATCTACATTGTCTTATTACACATCACCGCCCTGTCCTCTTTATTAGGTACACCACTACAGTCTAATGCAACCCACTGCAACAGCCCTGCCACACTTTCTACCTTTATGATACTGATAATGCACAGATTTCTGTTCATTTACATGTCTGTTACTAAGGTTGTAGTTGGTGGTGGCGGCACTTCACTGGACTGCATTATATTGAAGTATATCACAGCCCAGTTCAACACCACTGTTTTTAGAGGTTATTGTCAGACTGTTACTTTATCATAAGGACTGACAGTTAAAGTCACGATGAAACAGCAACAGCGGCTTTAATGTTGAAACAGGAAGTTGAGTTGGGTTATACCACAAGTACATGTTCATATCCATACTCATACTCACATTCAGAAGTGTGAACTGGTGGGATATCAGTTAGCTTGGGCTTTATTTGTACATTGTATGTTTATTTGTGAGGCGCAGCATTAATAATAAATAGTTTAGAGTTTTTATAAACACCTTTTGTGTGCAGCATGTTGATCAGAAAGTAGCAAGAATATCATACATACATTTCTTTGAATTTGTGGCATTATTTTTTCTTTTTGTAAAACAAGTGTCTTGCAGCTTGAAATAAATTTCTTATGAGGTCGAAAAGTCGTTTTGCATTTTGCACTGACTGAAATGATCAACTCTTGTGACAATGCAAATCTTAAAACCAACACAGCTTGTTGAACCACAGAGAGGTTTTGAATTTTAAGGAAGGTGTTTCCTGTGTGTTTACCACTGATATGTTATGGCCGATAAAGAGGAGCGGTCTCTTCTTCTCGTGTTAACCGCAGACACACAGAGGGGCTCGATGCAACACTTGTGTAAAGGAAACTGTTTGCTAAATGTGTGAACTTGACTCATTTCATGCATATAACTATTTTTAAATTAATGGAGCTCATCTCAATAGGAGTTTGAAATATAAAATTAAAGTTTTTTTTTCTTTCTTTTCTTTATCTTTTCCCCCTGTCCATCGGTTTGCAGTGTTAAGCCAGAATGCCTGCTGTCCCACTGCATCATAGCGCCCATGCTGGCGCTGGACCCCGCTCTGCCAGCCAACGTTACACTCAAAGAGCTGCCGTCACTCTCTCCCTCGCTCTCTGCTGCCAAAGAGCTGCTGCTGATGAACAAACCCTTCCACCCGTCCACCACCGCCTCTGTGGTCGTCTTCCATTCGCAGGCTGACGGTAAAAAACAAAAAAGAAACACACAAAATGAATCCAGAAACATCAACATTTTTTTTTTTTTTTTTTTAAGGAATAAAGTGTGTGAGAGAAAGTGAGAGATTCTGCTGGGTGAGCAACAAAAAAAACACTGGCGGTGTAATAACTGAACCCAGCAGGCACATTATCACTGAGATGTGAAAATTTATTTACAATGCAAAAAAAAAAAAATGTTATTTGAAGTGCGATTAATGAGTAACCAGGAAGTGATGGCGTGTGGTGGGAGTGGGAGAAAAGCAGCATGATGATCAGTAGAGTGAAACTGAGAGCTGGGGTGGGATGATGTGACCAGTTTGATCGTTTCTTTTCCAGCAAGAGTCACAACACACTCAACGTGTCTCTAAATGGACTCTGTTTGTGACACATGCAGGACCTTGTGCAGGCGTAGTATCAAGCAGTTCACCTGCAGTGGAACATTGTGGTTTTTTAAAAAGCATCACAGGGTTTATGTTGCGTTTAAAGGCTTTATAACCCAGTGGTATACTGCAGTTTTGTTAACATGACGTGCTGCTCGACACCCACGCGAGAAAGGGGATGAATAGAAATCTTTTTGCCCCATTCCCTCCTCCTGGTGTGATGTTGCTCAGTTGATAACCTCAGTGGATGAACTCTATTATTACAGGCCTATTATCTTTTTTTCTTTTTTTTTTTTTCTTCCATTTTTATATTTATTATTAATAGAACAGACGAAGGAGAAAGAATGGCAGAAATAAGTCAAATAGTTTAACTGCAGGAAAAGTAAATTTATCAGCGTGTTTCTCAGCCTTTGTGGTGGGACTGAGGTGACACTGCCTCCACCTTGACACCCCTCACCCCCCCTCCCCCCCTTTTCGCCCTTTTTTTTTTTTTTTTTTTTTTTTTTTTTTTTTTTTTTTTCCCCTCTGTATGTATCAAGTATCGTGTGTGTGTAGCATAAAATGAATAATGGGTGGCGTGGAGCTGCGGCTCTTAATCGTATTTAAGCAGCACGTCGACCGAGATCAGGGCAGTTTATCAGAGTGTATACGTTGACAATCCTTCACGGCTGGGTGTTGGAACTGTGCAACTGCTCAAGCGATGAGCTGCACCTGTTCATTTGTTCAGTGTGTTTGACAGAGTATGACTCATTCATGTCGTCAACCAACACTTCAAGTCGTCAGTCTGGTTTGTGACACCAGAAAGTCTGTGTGTGTGTATGTATGTGTGTTTTAGAGACACTATATCTGTACACATGAAAGCACATTGACATTGTGTTCTTGTTTATTCATTGGTCTTCACAGCTGATAAAGCCTATACCGATGTGTCCAAAGAAGATCAGAAATTCTCTGTGTCCAGATGTTACCTGGTGAGTTCACAACTGTTATTAACTGAGTGAAAACTGGGTCTGATTTCACATACATCCTCAGCAGATCCTCCTGTCCTCTCTGAAGATTACACAGCGCTGGTATGGGACATGTTAGTGTACTTGTGCATTGTGTGTTTTGCAGACGACAGATAAAGAGGCTCCAGGCCTGATCCGCATGCAGGCTCTGGCCTACCTGAGCGGCTTCCCAGCATCCTTCAAGGAGACGGAGCCGCTGAGAGTCAAACTGCCCTCTGTCATAACCAACAAGATCAAACAGGTACGATCTCCTCAGTGATTACATTAGTGAGGTGAACTTTGTCAGCAATAAGAAAGAACAAGGAAACAACTTGTTTCCTGATTGAAATAGTTCCTGGTGGTGGAGCGATGCAAAGATTTGTTGTTAATAATTGGAAAAAGAAACATGCAGAAATAAGTGTTCAGAAGTTTGTCATTTCACTTGCAGTGATTCGTATTTGTTTTTGTTTTTTTTTTCACCCAGTGTGGCTTTTATTTTGAAATCATTCTTTTATCATTATTACAGAATTGACAAAACCACATGTTTTGATACCTCTGACCTTTTTCCTGTAAGGTTCTCATTAGTTTAAAATATAAATCTCTTTTGATGCATTTTTCCCCAAAGTGTAACCTGGGAAAAATGTTATAAATCACTGAAACATCCAGTAGGTGCTTAAAAAGGAGGATATTTTAAGTTTGTTACAAAACAGCAGGTGGCAGAGTTGCACACAATCGGTGCACAGTCAACACTCATTGCTTTTGGCTTTCTTTAATTAATGGTGTTACTTACCTGATGAGGAGACTGTGCATTATTTCCGTAAGGTTTTTTGGACGTTGTGTCATGAGTGACGAGGTAAAAGGAAACTTTAACTTCACTGACTTTGCCACCAGATGTCGCTCTTACAGTGTCTTACCTCAGTGCTGAAGGATGATTGTACATCATTATTACTTCAGACATATACTGTGTTTTTTTTTTTTTTGTTTTGTGTGTGTGAGCACAAATTCAGCTTTTGGTATTTTTATACATCATAGGAGCGTAACCTAAGAGTGGCCTAATCACAAATGTCAAATCCTCCTTGGAGAGGGGGTTGTGCCGTTCCGCTAAATACGGTCTTTTTCTATTTTAAACAGTTATGCTGTGATGTGGATAAAGAGCCTCTGTTTAGCTCGGCAGCTGGCAGATTGCGTCTAATAATTTTTCACTAATCACAACTGTATATTTTGAGGGGGAGGAATGCCACTAACGAGAGTGGATTACTCTGAAATAATCAAAGAAAACAAAACGGCGAAGGCTGGAGCTGAGTTGACCCCGTCACACCAGCAGGCGTGGGACATTATACTCACATGGCCGATGAGACTTAATAATATAATCTGATGAGTCGGATTTATTTGAGAACGTAAAGAGACGAGAGCGCGCTGATGCTAGCAAGACTGTCTGACAGGGAGGAGCAGGAAAACCGGTGACGCTCATCAGGGAGGCAATAAAGCTCAAGACAAACAAAACACAAATAAAAGAAAATAAATATATGCAAATAACTTTAAATAAAAATAGAAATGTCAGAGGAAAGAAGCTAAATGTGTAAAAATGTAATAGAAATAAGTTAAAAAATAAAAATAAAAAATCTTGGGATACTTTGGATTTTCCTTCTTTTTTTAAATGCTAATTTAAAAAAACAAAGCGTAATAATCCTTTTAAATACTGTTTGAAAGGTGTTTTTTACAACTGAAACAAAGAGTTAATTCTTATCCTTTCAATTCAAGGTCTACTTACTTTTTCCAGAGGATTTATCCACATCACACGGTCTTCACCAGCAGGGGGAGTTTGCTCTGTCATCAGCGAATGTCGAATAATAATGTTTATATAGAATAATGGAACATTTTAACGTCCACGGGTTCCCTGAATATCCCTCTGTCCGTGAAGGCCATGTGATATGATCAAAAGCAACTGAAAAAGCTAATAAGTGGACCTTGAGTTGACATTTTGTCAGAAAAAATCTTGTTTTCCTCTCACTCCATAACTTGCCAGAGAACAAACCCAGTAAATACAAAGACGGATCATAATCAACAAAAGATGAAACAGTCTGTGATACGTTGGACCGAGTTACATGTTTCTTAAAAAGATTTTTAAAATGAGGGTGAAAACCTGCAAAACCTCAAATATATAAACATACTGTATGTAATAGTCACAGTTGTACAAGAATCTATAAACTAGCTGCTACTCTGACCCTCAGGGGCTCAGAAGCGCTGTAACTTTGTATGTGATGATATGTAGGTTAACGGCATTTAACCTACATATCATCATCGAACCCAGTTGTCCCATCATTCCCTGCGTTTGTCTCCAGGTTTGCTCCCGGTCATGTGATAATAACCAGCGGCATTCAGGCTGTAACCTTAGCTGGCGGTGCGGGGGTTAACATTAGAACAACTGTTTGGAGTGGCGTGGCGCCAGCCAGCACGCTGAAAGGTCACCAAGATTTTACTGACCCCCTCGCGACTCTCGGACACACCCTGGCATCTCGTATACATGTATTTATACCTGGCTTTACCTGCTTGACACTAGGTTTGATATTTTGCAAGTGGGGGAAGCTGGAAGAGGAGTTGCAGGACTAAAATGGGGAAGTGTGTGTGTGTGTGTGTGTGTTGTGTTGGAGATGATCCTGAGACATCTGAAGCCGCTCAGAGTCCAGGAAAGAGGATGGAAAGTGTGTGTGTGCGCGCGCGTGTGTTTGCCGTCGGAGGGATTCTAGGTACACAATGCACAGGTTGGATTTCAAGGTGTTTCCTGGTGTCGCCGGGCCAGTTCTGTGAAAGAGGGATGATGTGCATAGTGTGGAAGGAGAGGCTGAGCAGTGAGAGAAGGTCGGTATTTATAGCTGGTGTTAGACCGAGTGCTATGGTGATGAAAGCTGCCCCACAGCCCCGATCATCTGCCCGTGCTGTCGTCTGTCGAGACCTGCCCCGAGTGTTTGTGTGAGAGCCTGCTGATGTGTTTGTATTAGCGTGTGTTTTTATCGAGGCCTGCGGGCGTCCACACGGTGGCTCGTCTCCTCCATGAAGGAAAATTCAAGATTCAAAGGTTTTAATTCTCACATGCTCATATATGTGCGGAGTGGTGTGTGGTCTTAAAGACAGTAAATAATTATAATTGGGATAAGCCAAAATAAGAAAAATAAAATATAAACATTTAAAGATAAAATTATAGATATGCAGTATTTAATATATATTCATATTAAGATGTTAAAATGTATATTGTCACAGTGTGAATGTGGGCTGTGCAGTTTTTGTATACTATATTCTATACTAACATTTAGTGCCTGCCTCAGTGCAGAGATGCAGCTCATTGGATATGAAACTTCGACATATGTTTTTAAATAAAGCTTCAAATAGTCATTATTTTCATCAGCATTTAATTGGCTGATTATTTCTTAATTAACTGTTTAATTATTAAAATCTTCACACTTGAGAAACTGAAACCAGGGAAGTTTTGCTTGAAACTGACTCACATTATTGATTAATTATCAATGTTGTTGCAAATATATTTTCTGCTGATCAACTGATTAATGACTTAATGATCCAGTTTTTGGTAAAAAAATAAACTCAGTCATGTAGCTCTAGGAAGGAGTTAATAACACATCTGTAATAACTCCAGCTGTGTCTCTTCCTTTTCCCACTGTAGAAGCATTAGTGCTTCAGTCTCCTCAGACTGGGTTTCAGACCTGGACTCTGCGGGTGATGCAGGATGACGCAGCGTCCTCGGCGCTGCATGCCATCTGCGAGAAACGATCACTCACCACTGAGTTAATTAGTTTACCCAGAGGGTCAACTCAGTTTTTTTAGACTAATTACATTTTCTTCTCTCATACAAGCCACAGTGATCACAGTTTATAATGTGATGAGAGTAAAATACACATGGGGCGTGTTAATACATGTGGTGTGGAGTAACTGTAGCTGCTGCCTGGAGGACGTGACAGTGAGCTGATGAAGCTTTTTCAACATTAAATTTCACCTCCAGTACGAGCACTGCTGATGCAGCTCGTCTTTCTCTGTCCTCTGCATTGTAACTATCACATTTCTCCATATTTTTTAATGCTGCTCGACATTGTTTTTCTTGAGAACGACAGTTTTCTTTTTCTAGACGAGACAAATAAAAAATCAAAAAAATCAGTTGTCCACTTCCAGGTTTGGAAATATTGTGATGCTGTGGTAAATCAGAGTACTGTTGATTAGATAAGTTGTTTATGTTGACAAATGTTAAAACAAGACGGTAATAACGTCATAATTATGGAATAATGCATGATGCAAAACCTATTGTTACAGTGGCACAAGTGCAGAGTGATAAAGTCTGTAAACTGACTCAGCAGTGTTTGGTATGTTACAGCAATAATCGCCTGACGTTTCCTGACATTACCAGTAAGCTCGTGGTCATACCAGACCAAGAGCGGCTGTAGCAGCAAAACTGCTGAAAGTACTTAATTAAACAATGATGCTTTTTATTGCTAATGAAATCAACTTTTCTAATGAGGAAGGACGTGTTACTTCTTCTTTCTAAAGTGACTCACTCGTCTTGTGAGTCTTGCTAAGACATTTTTATTCTTAGCTTTGCTAGAAAATGGAAAAACATACTTTCTAATAAAAGACTGGGAACTAATCAATCATTGGAAAATAAATAACCACATTTAATTTGTGGTTATGGATTCCAAACATGTTGTGGGGTCTTATGACGCAGGGTAAATCTGGACCCTGTGATTTAGTTGGTAACATGTCAGAAAATTGTCCAACCAACAAATTATAAATTGGTTTATGAAACGTAATCAACACGTTCTCCAAGGACTTAAGATTATTTCAGTTTTAACTAATTGAAAGTAATGTCTGATGAAGTGAGTGAACAGGCTTACGTGCTTACAGGCAGGCGAGTGCCTGCGTGAGGCCACCACACACCTCTGCTTTGTGTGCATGTGTTAGAGCATTATCAAGACTATAAAGAGAGCTATAATAAAGATGGCAACGTGATCCGGGGCTTGCCGTCTCCTGACTGGACCCCGCTGTGTGTATAAGTCTCAGAAATCCTCCTCACCTAAAAACAGGAGCAGAGAGGAGCGGACGAGTGGAGGCGGAGCACCAGCTCATGTGAGATGTTTGGGTTCAGTCTTTTTCTGGGAAGCTCAGAGTTTGAGAGATGAGAGAGGAGGGACAGATGGTTTAAAGCAGACAAGGCCATGGGTAACTCTCTCACATGCATCACACACACACACACACACAGTCCTGATGCCTCACATAGCTCCCCTGAGGTCAGACAGAGAGCCACCTCCTTGATACCCCCATGGATAAGATGACGTCACAGAATTTTCTGAACTCTCACCCCCTTAAACACACACACAAGCTCTCTCTCTCTCTCTCTCTCTCTATCTCTCTCTCTCTCTCTCTATCTCTCTCTCTCTCTCTCTCTCTCTCTCTCTCTCTCTCAAGGCTACAGCAGATGCTTCCACACAAGCTTCATATCTGCCCTATAGATACGAGGTCAGAGGTCACGCTGTGTGCTTCGAGCCCAAATCACATTAAGTCTTGTCATTTTTTCCGCTCAGTCGTCTCCGTCTTTCTCCATCCTGCTGTCCCGATGATGGCCTCATGCTCTCTGTCACAAGCCTGGCCCTGAGGCTAAATCACGTAGATCAGCATGTGACTTCATCCCTGAGAAATTACTGTTCAGGGATTTTCCACAGTGCATGTGGTGATTTATAATTTTTTGACTTAAAGGGGAAACTAGAGATTTTGCATGTTGACAGCGAGGTCACCTGATAAAGGCAGTGTCTCCTGAGACTCTGGAGTGAACTGAGAACTTGAGGCTTTCCAGCTGGGAGACATTGTTATTTTAGCATGTTAGCATGCTAACATATGCTAATTAGCACTTAACACACAGTACGGCAGAGGCTGAGGGGAATGTCATTAGTTTTACAGTCACAGTCTACAGCAATTCTTCCAGCAGTTGTCAAGATGGTTCACTCAAATCCAAAAATGTCAACCTCATAGTGGTGGTTGAGGAGAAATCACTGGATCATGAATGCCTTTACATAAATCTGTGTTTGGAGCTTGACCAATAAGAGGGACTAAAAAAATCTTGTTTTTAAATGTTCGTATTTAGTAGGTTCAAAATGACTGGAGTGTCATTCAAGCAGATAACACCTGCCCGTTTGTTTCTTTGTCCCTCAGTTTGAGTTGTACTCTGAGGCGAGCATCGCCCTGCTCCACCTGAAGACCCCACAGGACTTCTCCGATCTGACGCAGCAGGCTAAAAAGAACCTGACCCTGGATGGGAAAGAGTTAACCATCAGCCCCGCCTACTTGTTCTGGGACCTCACCGCTATCTCACAGGTACGACTGGTCCGTCCTGTCCCTTTTGATATGCATTAAAATATGGATATTAAAGTAATGAAGGCCATGTATCTTGGTAGGGCTGAAACCCTGTTGGTTTGTTGTGAACATAGACAACATAGATGGAGATGCAGTCTAAGTATTAATTGTTCAGCTCTTTCTCTGTTTGTCCTCTTCAGTCCAAACAGGATGAAGATGTTTCAGCCAGCAGATTCGAGGACAACGAGGAGCTCCGCTATTCGCTGCGCTCGGTGGAGAGACACGCCCCCTGGGTGCGTCACATCTTCATCGTCACTAACGGGCAGATTCCCTCCTGGCTCAACCTGGATAACCCCAGAGTTACTGTTGTCACACATCAGGTAAAATTGAACTTCTCCCACACTGCACTCTGTGCTAGTGTTGGACTGTGGGGCCTATTTTTGATCTTATGTCAAGTATTAAGGTTAAAAAGCAACTTAATAATTCTGATATATCTGGAGCACATTCCACACCGTCAAATTAACAAACAAATTTCTTTAGGGATTGTTTTGAGACTCGCAGAAAATAATGGTTCCATAAATGGTTTGCAAACGAAACATTATTTTATTCCCATAAAATTTGTTTTTCTTTGACTTGTAGGATGTCTTCCTGAACAACAGCCACCTTCCCACCTTCAGCTCCCCCGCCATAGAGACACACATCCACCGCATCCCAGGGCTCTCCCAGAAGTTTATTTACCTCAACGATGACGTGATGTTTGGCAAGGACGTCTGGCCGGACGACTTCTACAGCCACTCCAAAGGACAGAAGGTGTGAACACAACATGAAAAGTGCTCGCAGTGAGGTTCAGGTTGAAATCTGTGCCGCAGTTTGATGATGAAATGCTACAAACTGACCTTCACTCTCATCTTTTCTCACTTCTCTGCAGGTGTATCTCACCTGGCCTGTTCCCAACTGTGCTGAGGGCTGCCCAGGATCCTGGATCAAAGATGGGTACTGTGACAAAGCCTGCAACAACTCTGCGTGTGACTGGGATGGAGGAGACTGCTCCGGTAAAAAGAAACACCGTTTTTTTTGTGTGTGTGTGTGTGTGTGTGTGTGTGAATGTGAATAAGCTTGTTTTTGTCGTGCGTGTCTAATGTGCTGTTCCCTCTCTCTCTGACAGGTGCAGCTGGGAATAGTCGCTTCGGTGCAGGGGTCGGTGTTGGCGTGCCCGGTGGAGCTGGTGGACAGGTGTGGCAGTTTGCAGGTGGTATGGGAGGCCTTGGGGGGACGTCCTACTGTAACCAAGGCTGTGCCAACTCTTGGCTGGCGGACAAGTTCTGTGACCAAGCCTGCAATGTGCTTTCATGTGGCTTTGATGTGGGCGACTGTGGCCAAGGTGAGTTTAAAGCAAATATACTGTGATGATGTTTTCTTTACACAGACGCATTTGGTACATGTCAGATTAAGGGATTAGTCCGGTGGCAGTCTGTATTTGTCTTACTTTCATTAAATCCCGTGAAAAGAACAAAACAAACAGGAACTGATTTTGAACAAGTGTTGTTTGTTTTGGAAAAAAAACACTGACATGTTCCTTCATTACCATGAACACACACTGTAGTTTATTTAGATTCAATCCCACATACACTGTCCTGCTGCCGTGAATACTCACTAGAGCTCTGAATTGGTTTTAATCCACAGCTGAAAATAGTTCCCAAGAAATACGCCTTTAACTCCACTTTTTGTTTCTACTAATAAAAATCTAGAGTATCGCCTTATATTACACGATCATGTGTTTGTGATGTCTGCAGAGCACTTTGGCGAGCTGCACCGTGTGACCCTGCGGAGGAACCAGAGCCTCTACACCCTCCCAGTGGGCGAGGTCAGGCCATATTTCAGCTTTAATGGACTCGCTCGCAGAGTCTCTGAGGCCCACGTCAGCGACAGCCCCGTGGTCCGCCACACCTCCGTCGCCAACAAATGGAAGACCGTTCACTTGCTTCTTTATCCCGGCCACAACGCCAGCCAGATCCAGTACAACCTCACGTTCCAAAGAGAAGACGACACGGAGTTCACGATGACCTTCGGCGTAGCTGTCGACACCCGCGAGGTTCCTCAGGCGAACGTGTCCAAGACTGCGAGCAAAGACGCCGGCAAAGAGGCGAAGCCGACACCAACTCCTGAGCCAGTGTTCCCTTTCTCAGATATTCCTGAGGACAAACGGGGTCCTAAGATCCAGAGGAGGCGGCCTGGCGAACCCCACGTTGTCATAGAGGTTCCTTCACTCAATGTGTCACTTTTACCGGCTGTTGTCCGCACCGAGCTGCAAAAGCTGGAGGAGAAGCTTCTGACCGGTGACATTACTGTGAAGGGTTATAACCTCACGAAGGCTGAACTTCTTAAGCCTTACAAGACGCTGGCTGAACAGCAGCAGGTCATCCATTCACAGGCAGCTAATGAGGGTGCAGCCAAGGTCCAGGCAAAGCCCTATAAAGACTTGGAGGGAGAGTTAGAACCACCTCTGGAAGAGAAAGCTGGAAATGTTATTCAGAAAAATCTAAACTCAAAACAAGAGAAGTCCAGGAAAATCGTGACGGTGCAAGGCCCCCCGGTCATGCCTCTCATCCCCGTCCATATTGATGATAAGCATAAGGTAGAGTTTGTAAAACCCACATCTCATCCTCTGAATGCTGCCATTGAGAGGCCAATGACGTCCAAACTGCTGAGCAGCATTTCCAAAATCAGAAGCACTGAGAGTCACGATGAGCCGGCCAACGCTGCGGGAGGAGCTCCAGTCGGGAGGAGACTCCAGCACTTCACCTCCTCAGACCGAGGCTTTCTGCCATGGGAGAGGAGGAAGTACTTTCAGGCGCTCCTCGAGGTCAGTAGAGCCTATGCTTTGACTGTTTACCTGCGGTCATGCGTTTTAATTTCTTTTAGATATCACGTCCTTTGTGTCGATTCTACAGGAAGAGGAACGTCTGCAGAAAGAGCTGCTGTATGCGACTGGCGGCGGCGCCACTGGTCGAAGGCTGCAGGACACTTTTGCCGACTCCCTCCGTTACGTCAACAAGCTGCTCAACGGCCAGTTTGGCTTCACGTCCCGCAAAGTCCCCGCACACATGCCTCACATGATCGACCGACTCATCATGCAGGAGCTGCAGGACACGTGAGGCGCACTGTGAAATGTCTTTTGAATAAGTCTGTAGGTATTCCCCCCCGAAGAGGCGGCGTCTCGAACTGATCTGTGCTCTGTCCTTCAGATTCCCGGAGGAGTTCGACAAGACGTCAGGCCACCGCGTGCGTCACTCAGAAGACATGCAGTTCGCCTTTTCGTACTTCTACTTCCTGATGAGCGCTCAGCAGCAGCTCAACGTCTCTGAGGTGTTTGACGAGATCGACACCGATCATTCGGGCATCCTGTCCGACCGAGAGATTCGAACACTCGCCACCAGGATCCACGAGCTCCCTCTCAGCCTCCAGGTCAGTCCTGGCTGTGAACACATCTTCTCGCACTAACATTTGCAAGAATCCTTGTGGTTTTTTAAGTGTGTGTGTGTGTGTATTGTTTTTCTTTGTAGGATCTGACAGGCCTGGAGCAGATGTTGATAAACTGCTCCAAGACTCTCCCGACGAACCTGACCCAGCTCCACCTGGTGAACCCCACTCAGGAGACCTACTATGACCCCAGCATGGTGAGCCATACTTTAAAAGAACTGCAAATGACTTTGGGGGAAACAAAACAGAAAACCTGAATATGCACTTGTAATGTTGCATTAGCTGAATTATTTGGCTGAGATTCTGTATTTTTGCATCCACAGCCTCCTGTTACAAAAGGCCTCGTCCTTTACTGCAAGCCCATCACCGAGCGCATCCACAAAGCCTTCAGAGACCAGAACAAGTACAAGTAAGTCTTAACACAGTCTGATACTGATATTCTCTTTGGTTGCTGTTGCTAACATGTCTTTTGTTGGACAGGTTCGAGATCATGGGAGAGGAGGAGATAGCTTTCAAGATGGTGCGAACCAATGTGTCGCACGTGGTCGGACAGTTGGACGACATAAGGAAGAATCCGAGGTGAGGACGACTCTATGTTCGTCTTGTTTTCTTCTTTTTTTTTTGCCATATTTGTTGAACAAACTAACGTCTGTGTTTTTATTCTGCCAATCCCCAACAGGAAGTTCATCTGTCTGAACGATAACATCGACCACACCCACAAGGACGCTGCCACAGTCAAAGCCGTGCTCAGAGACTTCTATGAGTCCATGTTCCCGCTGCCGTCCCAGTTCGAGCTGCCCAGAGAGTATCGCAACAGGTTCCTGCACATGGAGGAGCTCCAGGAATGGTGCGCCATGAATTTTTAATATCGGATGAATTGCCATGAAATTTTGCACAGATGTCGCCTGTTTTTGTTTCCTCTAGCGCCACCGTGAGGTGAAAGGTTTGTCCATTAACAAGAGAGGACATTCCCATCAGCCTCAGCTGTGCCTCGTGTTAGTTGTTTCTTTGACAACATGCTGAGTTAAGATGGGGTAACATGTTACACGTTATACCTTCTAAACATCAGCATGTCAATAAAAGCATGTCGGGATGCTGATGTGAGTACAACCTCACAGCCTCAAGTGTGGCTGATTATCTTATATGAAGAGAGGACACGACTTGTTTTGTCCGAGCCACAGTCCAGAACCCAAAGAAACTCAGTTTACACTGATAGGAAACAGAAAAGGCTTGAAATCCTCACATTAGAGAAAATGACACAAGCGCATGTTAATAAGTGACAATTAGCTCATGTGGCCCGTTAATTGTCTGTCCACTAATTGAGTTGTTTCACGAATACGTAGCAGATTACATGATGTTTGAAAAGCACACATGCCACAGATGCACTCGGGTCCTTGTTGCACGTGTGCTGGTCATTTATCGGGCTCTTTTTTTTTTTTTTTCCCCCAGTCAGCCTAAGTTAAGAATTTGTGGCTGTCACCACATGGTTGTGAGTGTTGCCAGGTTGGAGCAGTGGGAATCCCTTGGGGGCTTTAGAGGGTTTTCATCAGGGATCCTGCTCCTGTGCTCGGGGGGCTTCAGCTGGAGAATGCCGGCCTCGCATAAAGACTTTAAAATTAGACCGAGCCGCCTCAGATCAGTCACTAGCTGTAGGATACCTATAAGATCATCACACAGCTGAGCCTCTCGTCTCCTCCCCTGCCTCTCCACCGTCTCCTTCTGTCTCTGGGTTTTTGAAGTGACAGGCGGATGGCGTTGGGTGATGTCACCTTGTCACCCTGTTGCCCTTCTGCCCTCTGCATACTGCCTGCTTCCGTCTTGTTACATCAGATCACAACTACTCTATCCTCCTGTGAGACACGCCGCCTCTGACGTTTCTCACCCAATCAGGAAACGCATATTTTAAGTGTTGGATGATGTAACAAAGGAAAGGGGTCTGTGTCTTTATTTAAAAACTAACTGAACTGTATTCTTTCCCAGGCGGGTGTATCGGGACAAGCTGAAGTTCTGGACTCACTGTGTCCTCGTGACACTCGTCATCTTCACCGTCATGTCCTTCTTTGCCGAGCAGGTCAGTATGTCCACCTGCGACCACTCACGGTTTATTTACACGTTCAGATAAAGACACACAAGACACCCCACTCACACATCTCTCGTTTTCCATGATTCACACTGGAGCTATGATTCAGGCCTCTGCTACCGAAATTCCACTGAGAGGTGCGTCCGTCTCATGTGTCGTGCTAGTATGACCAGCTGAGCCAGGACCTGACTTTACAGAAATGAAAGACCCCCAGCAGTCCTCTGTGAAAGGCGAGACTTGTCTGTCTTTGTTGCCTTGGATCACTTTAACCTTCTTTGTTGCCAGCTCTCCAGCTGAAAAGGTGTCCGGCGAACATTATAGCAAAGAATTTAAAAATAGGGATAGTGTTCTTGGATTAACTTTCCTGTCAGATTCTTCCAGATTAAGGATATAAACAAATGTCAAGAACTCTTAAACAAATACTGCTCGACCCAGGTTTGACATTGAGCTCTTATGAGGCGCTCTCCTAATCCAAAGGTTTCCAGTTTCTCCTCAGCGAACCTAAAGAAAGGTTAATAGTAGCAGTGACCTGTGGAGAATTTCCTCCCCCCACAGCAGCCTGCGGGACCAGTGTTCCCAGTGAGGAATGTGTCGGACTCGTCCACTGTCTCCATCACTGCAGAAAAAAGACGTTTGATGTGTTTTTTGGCACAAGATGAGCCTGGCTCTGCCACTGTCCAATATATTAAGACGGAGACATCTGAGTCAGCTATGAACAGTTTAACTAGAGAGATCAAAGTGTCCTCACCCCTCAGAGGGAGGTGACTGCTGTCCTTAGATTATCTTTGATTTCTGCCCTTCTGGGTCTTGATTATTGAAAAGAATTGGTCATTAATAAATAATCTGGCATATAAAATGGAGAATTTTCATTTTAACCTTTTGGTTTATGTACAGAATAAACAAACAAGGTGTAATGTGTTAATTGGTGAGCTTTAAAGGTGCTGGTCAGCTGATTTTGTTACTGCTGGACAGAGCAAGGCTAGATGTTAAGCTAAGCTAACCATCTGCTGGCTGTAGCTTCACGGTATCAAGCTTCTCGTCTAAATCTCTGCCAGAAAGTGATTATTAAGCGTATTTCCCCAAGTGTAGCTAAACTATGGAGGAGCAGGGATGTCAGAGGAAAAGTAATAAAGCATTTCCTTAATTTCATAATTTAATAGGCATTAAAAATAGTATACTAATAATACTATTAGCTAATCGGTTAGCTTAGTCATTTAGCTTCTCCATTTAGCTTTTGGGTGATACTCTGGGCCTTCAGTGCCAGTAAAACCCGATATGACTGGTCAGCTCTCCAACCAATCAAAGAGCTTGTTACATCCCATGGCCAACTGGGATAGTTTAACCTGGTTTTACAGCATTGAAGGCCCAGAGTGTCACAGAGTGGCTAAATGACTAAGCTAATCAATTAGTTAATAGGAAAAGGAAAAGCAGCAGGGAAATGGAAATTGAGTCCAGGAATGTATTCCCATTTTTAAATAGTTTTTCAAGTTCTATTATTTATTCATGAATTAATGAATGTATTTGTAAATGGTTTATTTAATGAGTTTTATGCTGTTCTTGTAAATCCATTTTTAAATCTGAGGCATTTATTGATGGATTAATCGCTCATTTAATTATTATTTTCAAGATCTCTATTAAAATATAAAATTATGGAAATGTTTTATTACTTTTCCTGTGACATCCCCGGTCCTCCATCCTAAACCCTATCCTCTATCATAGTCATCCTCTCGCTGACAGACAGTACTAGGCTTTCTTGTCTTTTCTAATCATTTCTAATCATGCAAGTCCGCCTCTCCCTGCAGCTGATTCTGCTGAAGCGAAAGCTGTTCCCCAGACGCAGAGTGAACAGGGACACCAACCCTGAGCGGGTGTGAAAGAGGACGACTTCCCTCTCCTCTCCTTCCTATGCTTCAACCTCCACCCCTCCTCTCCTGCTCGGTAGAGAGGACAGGAGAGGATCCAGACCGGGGGACTGGGTGGAAATGGGAATCTGAAGTCCTCAGTGCTTGTGGTTGCATCAGCGCGGACGGATCATAGAGACTCACGAGAGACGGCGGTGAAACATTTTTCAGATGATGATGGATGGGGCTGGCCGGTGAAGGGAATAACAGCCAAAAAGAAGAAGCCTGCACATCTTCTTTTCCGCCACTGGGGGCATCCGAGACTTTTCATACAACACACAAACGAACATAAAACACTCCCTCCACACTGCAGCACCCTCCTCTTGCCCTGTCCTCTCTGTCATTGATTGATGTGGTGTTGAGGTGTGAAAACACTTGATAGCAGCAGTTCGGGACTGCGTGTGTGTGTGTGTGTGTGTCAAAAGTTTTACCATATAATTCACAAACTATTGTGTTTGGAGCTGGTGCTTGAAACTAAAAGTCAAATAATTGATTGACAGAAGGAAAAAAAAAAAAAAAAATTAACTATTTCAAAAACGCATTAATCGTTTTTGTCACTTTTCAAGTAAAAATGCCAAACATCTGTTTGTGTCTGTTGCGTTTGGCTTTTACCCCTGTGGCTTCCTTTTAAAGACATAGAGCCAGGAGTGCATATAGGATGAATAGGAATAATCCATTTAAGTGTTGGTGATTGTCTTCGTCCTTTATCTTTAAATACATGAAAACTTGAAGTGCCTTCGTTGTTCATTCCTGCTTGTTTGAACTTTTTTTTTTTTTAATGTCTTCTTATAAATGTTGGCCAATGCACATCACACCCTAATTTAGCGATTTCCAATGAGAATGAATGGGCCATAGGATAATATATCATTCTTACCGTGGTACGAATGCAGTCGATTGTCGGAGCTACATGTCAGTGATACTACAGCTTTCATATCCGCCTGTATGTGTGTCCCCGTGGGACTCGACAGGATCGTTACTGTCTGAAATTCAGACCCCCTCAGCATGTTCTGTAACTTATTTTGGTTGTATTATTGTAACAGTGAACCAAGTGAGTGATGCACCTGATTTGAATGCTGAAGAATGTAAACATAAAGATGCTCATCACCTCTTCACACTCTTTTCCTCTGAATGTCAGTTTTACAAACTTCTTTATTACTATAATGTTAAACTAATACGGAAGTGACTCCCAGATGCTGTCGCTTTTTTGTCAGTCATATGATGTTCAGGGTGATGTAACCAGGCGAGACAATGAGTAATGAATTAGGAAATGGGATTTCCTCAGTCTGCATCAGTTCAATGGTTCTGCTGACTGAAATAAATGTGATTTGGTTCAGTCATCAGGTTGTTTTTCTTGTCCTGTGTGTGTGTGTGCATGTGTGTATACTGTGTCAGTGTAGCAGAGGACATTTACTCAAGTACTGTATGTAGGTACAACTGTGAGGTACTTGTGTATTTCCATTTCATGCCACTTTCTACTTCTACACCATTAAGACTTCATAAGGAGATATTGCACTATATTTACTTGACAACTATAGTTAATAGTTTACACATAATCTCTGTCTAGCTGAGCCCCCCTGTTACTTTTCAGTTTTATTATAAAATACTGTTTTGTGCCTTAAGAGGTAAAAACTATCACGTATCTCACAAAAGCAAGACTAAGAATCTGCAGCCATGCTAGCAGCTCTTAGGCATCATGAATGTCTGTGTGACATTTTATGGCAATCCATCCAGTAACTGACGGACTAGCTCTCCCATCCCAAGAGCCAAAGATTATATACCAGAGATAAGTATTAGAAATAAATATAAATACCATATTAATCACATCACTATTCGGCTTGATCTTGTGACCCGCTGGAGGAGGCCTGACCCCGCTGGACTAAACTATCCAACAGCATACAAAGTGCTTAAACTAGCTCCACCTCCACCAGCTACAACAGTAAAATACTACTGAATCTCTATAAACGGTGTAAAACTAATATCCTTTTTGTTGATTCTTTTATTTATGCAAGTTACTGGATGTAGCACTTTTATTATATTTACACTATAGTATTGACACTTAAGTAAAAGATCGGAGTAAATTCCCACCACCTAATAAAACACATGAAAAATATTTTCTTTATTACAATCTTTTCCACTCATATGTTAGTACAAAGGTGTTTTACTACATTATTGAACAGTGCAACATGGCGTTGAAATCATGTCAATGCATAGTTCCTAAGTCCATTGTAACTTATCTGAATTTATGTTTTTAGGACACGCCCCTCTATAATGTCCATAATCCTGCAGGAGCAGAAGATGAGAGGAAGATGATTTTAGTTTTCCAGATAAAATCAAGAATACCTTTCTTCTTTTTCTTCTTTTTTTTCTTCAACCTTTGAATAGTTTACCGGCACCACAGAAATATCCCTTTTGATCCCAAAAAACCTGAATAATGAGTTTGTTAATATTCAATCATTACAAAATTACTGATAACCCAACAGATCTTCCAAGAACCAAATAAATCACTCACCCATACATAATTTACATTTGTATAAGTGAAGAAACTTCATGAGTGAACAGTTAAAAAAAAAAAAAAAAACTTCCAGTAGCACTGTATTATTACTAGTGTTTTCATGGTATATTTCAGTGGAAAAAGAAAAAAAACGTACAAAGCTGCTTTAAATATTCACAAATTTAACAGTAATTACAACAAAAATATTTAAGGCGACTTCAGTTGAATTCTGTACAATCACATAATAATCATTAGCCCTTCAGGGAGAAGAACAGAGAAAGCAGAACGAGTCGAGTGTTAATGCTTCATCAGCTGACAGCGCTAAAGGCCCGAGGTGAGGTGTGTGTTTATTTTCCAGGTCTGTAGGATGAGATGAGTAACAGGGAATAAAATATTGGAAACTCTGGAGGTGTTTGTGAGGGAAGCCCAATAGAAAACCAGTCATCACTCTCAGCATTAACACAGACTGTTACCCCTTCACTTAGCCTGTTGACAACCTGCCAGTCCACATTGCAAAGTTCATTGGAAATTATCTGAGGTTTTAGAGGTCATTTTTAAAAAAATCTTTATCTGTGTTTTCAAGATCTGGTTCATTTCAGATTGACTCACATTCATTTAATAAATAAAAACAGAGATTAAGAAACGTTTCAACTGGTACTCTGTTCAGTTTGGGCACATATCAAAGGGATTTACCTAAATGAGCAGTTACGATTGTCACATGTTTATGTGTTAAATAAATATATGACAAACATAATCTGCACAAATATCTTTCAATTTAAAGCAGATAAAATATTTAGATATTTGCCTAAGCTATAAAGTACCCACTGAAAAAAAAAAGAAAACATTTGGTATTTAAATTGAATGAGCAAGTGTAGAGTGCCCTATATTGTTGATCTGAGAACATGCACTTATGTTTAAATTAAACTTAATTCAAGGGGAATTCTGGTTCCGCCTAATTTTCAATTTTATATTTGTATCCGTGCTTTTCTTTTCTTTTTTTTTCTTTTTTGGTTTGTAGTTTGTAGTGTTGGTTCAATTTTGTCCGTCTGGTAGCAGAGGCAGTTTTAATCAGAAGTGGTCACTTTGTCAAGGCTGCAGTGGCTCAGGGTCGAGGGTCTCTCCTCGTCGTCGTGGTCCTCGTCTGCTTTCAGGAGCGGGGAGAGGTCTGCGTCTCCCCCCGCCTCCTCCCGCCGGGCAAGCCGTCAGTCGCGGTGGGCGTGGCCCGGCGGAGTGATGCTGAACACTTGGATGCGCAGGTGGGAGGCGATCTGGAGACACACACCCGTGCAGTAGCGCGTTAGATCCAGAAGAGAGAGGACCTGAGGGAAAAGAAGATAAAGAGGATCAAAAATGATGAACATGATTCTAACTGATTAATGATGATGGTTAACTAATGGACATGAATGATCACGTTTACTGTCTCATTCTCACATACTTTTACTTGCCAGCTGTATTTAATTGTAGTGTTGGAACTGTTTTATTTTGATATTTGAAAGTAAAGCAAGTCCAATTTCCTTCTACATTTGTTTTGTGCAGTTCTGTGCGGAAATTTTATAATCATTATTATTATTATCATTGTCAACAGGATTTTACATCATATTTAATGTCAGTCTGACCAGTCTCTGAGTTTCTGTTGTAGCTGCACCTCTTCCCTGATTGGACCTTTCCTAAGCACTGTGTGGGCGTTGAGAGAACAGGCTGGAACAACAGGTGTCTCCACTTACACCTCCATCGTTCTGTTGGTGACAGCAGGTACAGTAGCACCCAACATAGCTCTGCCCATCCTGAGCAGAGGTCTAATCAGCCAGAGTAAGTGAAAACACCTGTGTGGGTGGACAGGTACTCTTACTCATTTAAAAAAAAAAAAAAATTATAATTATAATAATACTGCTAGGTGTGTTTCAGCAGGAAAAGCACAGGTGTTACTAATAATGTTAATGACAACAGAATGTCAGTCAGCTGCTCCTGGTGTTGTGCATGCTGGTTCACTGTCACGACTCGCTGTGAACAGAACAGTCCCGTCGTTAAGGTAATTAGCAGCACCTGTGCTTCTCCTGCTACGACAGGTCAAAATGTCTGCTGTGAATAAAAGGCAACGTATTGTGTGCTGGAGCAGGAGTTCTCACTCTTCCTGAAACAGAGAGCTGCTGGTTTTCTTCACGGCTGAGTGACAGGTATTACTGTGATTAAATCATGGTTGAGACGGCAGGACGATGCCGTCTCAACCATTCCAGAGTCAAAAGCAGGGCTGCAAAGACAGGACGGTTAACATGTCGTAGTGATGCCGTAGGAAGGTTTATCTCAACTGTGCACTGAACTTTGAACCACAGGTATACTGAGTCTCTGATTAGATGACTAATGTGGTGTGAAAACCAGCGTCTCATCGGCAGGACTGAACCACTGTGCCACGGCCTCACCTACCTGTCCTGCAGGTTTTTTTTTTTTGTGCTGCAGCTGCACTCCACGCCTGGATCAATTAAGCTGTCATAATAACGCACAGTTCTGAATTGAATCAGGCGTGCACGGAAAAGATTAGAGAGCAACACTATGAAAATGTTTGGTCAGTTTTTCTGGTTGAACGAGGCTTATCTCTGCGACGGTTGCAACATTTAACAACAGCCTTAAAGATACATTTGCCTCTGCTTTGGTGCATGCGTCATGAAGCAGTGATGTACAGTTTGTATAATACTACAGTACTCATACAGCCACCGTGGAGAGCTTCTCCCAACATCAGCTAGAATGGCACTTAGAGAGTTCAGACCTCCGCCAAGGACAATGTCAAACAACATACACCAGTGTTCAGAGAAAAACATTTAAATTCATAGTAAATGATCCGGAACTGCCCCAAAATTCAGTAGGTTCTTCTCTGGCCCACAACCCATCCCTCCAACAAGTTCGGTGCAAATCGGTTCACTAATTTTTGCGTAATTCGATTAAACAGACACGGGTGAAAACATGCCCCCCCCCCCAAATGTGTTTGTTACTTAAAACCTGAAAATAAACTGATAATGATCAAATAGAAGCGAGGGATTATACACCACTGAGTGCACACAGTTCAAGAGTCTCCCAGTTAAGTGGCTGCACTTTGAACGTGCTGAGTGGTGATTAGTTTTGGATTAGTCAATAACATCTGGGTAAAAACATGTGATAAATAAATACAGGGTCACAACACTGAGTTTATGACTCTGATAAAAGTTGCATAATACCCCCCCCCCCCCATGAACTGTGTCCTTAATGAAGATTGAATAAATGAATTTCTGTGGCTCTTTCTGTAACATCTGACAAATGCAAGCTGCATTGTGGGAAATGTAGGCCCATATTTGGGACTATGATTCAGGATATCTTTTTATTTTTTTATTTTTATTTGGAGTCCCTTTAAAAAAGAAGAAACTTAGTGCTAGTATAAGTTTGTCTAATACTGACCATGGCGATCCAGAGGACTATGTGCTCGTCTATGAAGCTGTTGAAGTACTGGTTGAGGAAGAGGAGGCCGGGGCCTATAAAGGCTGTGTCTGGGAGGTGCAGCTCACTCTTAGTCATGTGCGCTATCTACAGAGGAGACACAAAAAATAAAACAGGAAGTACACGCACTGAATCACATGATGAAATATTACAAAAACATACGAGGCCCAAAAAAAAAAAAAAAAATGGTTTCAAGGGTGATAAAAACGTATCAGACGTACCACCAGTTTGTTGGAGATCTTGGAGATGACCATGCCAAAGGCGAGCAGGTACAGACAGGGGTGGTGCTCAAACAGGTGGCTGGACGACTTCTTGAAAATGATGAAGGCCAGGGTGAGGATGAGGCCGATGTGCAAACCAGGACTCAGCACACTGGTGTCCTAC